GGCAGGAATACAAAGAGCGATCGGAACAGGCGGCGTTGACGACGTCCATTGAGAAGGTGATACCTGCAAGGGATATTCCTCGTGGGCAGTCCCCGATGGAGCTCTTGACGCCTCGAGAAATGAGTCAAACAACGGAGACACGACCTCCAATGGAGACAAATCGAGTAACGATCCCGGATCCTAGCGACACCTTGGGTGACCCCGTCGTAGAACAGACAGTGAGAAAACTGATAGAGACAGCTGGACGATTGGTCGCTAACAAAAATGCACCAGGTTCCGGGGTGACTGCACCCTATGGAACGATTGACGATACGGGCAGAGTACAACTCTCCCAGACAGTAATCAGACAAGGGATGAGTAACGTGACACCACTCATGGGGAACTCGAGAATCCCAGAGAGGAAAGTAAGGAAGATGCCAGCGAAGAAAGTGTCTCGTGTAATAGATGTGCAGAAGAATAATCAATATGTATCTTCCGGGCGAATGTTACACATTTTGTACAGATAGTTTAGAATTTTTAAAACCTGAAGATGCACAAAATGTGCTAAAACGTTTGTTTGAATTTACAATTTTAACGCATTCTCAAAAGATCTAGTAGATGATTAGTATCTTTTTCAACCGCTAGCTTTTGAGATTCAGGACGTCGCCGGCCCCAGCACAATTTTTTTTGAGCAAGTTTTGTAAGAACATAAGCCTATGCACTGAGGAACCCAGAGCAGGCAGCTTTTTAAAACAGAGATTCTCCCTGGCAATACAGATTGCGAGTGTCGCTTGCGTACTCGGAACACTAAATGACGAAATAACTTTCAACGAAATTTTTTATTTGTAACACTTGTATATTATATTTTCTCGTGTCGAGTTGCGTGTTCTTATTGAAGAAACGTAATCCGTATCGATTTTAATTGTAAGGACATCAACACCTGTCATCTTCTTTTATCATTATCACTTCCATATCTAGTTTTTAGCAGTTCTTTTTTTTCGGCGGATCTATTCCTATCAACTTCCGTTATTATCGTGTCGTGCTCCTTCCCTTTTTCCCCTTCTGAACAGCATGGTCAGTCAATACTCCTACTATTTGTTGACCGCATTGAGTTTTCTCGAACACTTCCTCGACGCTGTCTCATCTTGACTAGAATCCTGCTACTCCTAGCTCGAACACGGTGAATAGGCGTGGTCTCTGCACTGGGTTCCGTATCGGCTTCCTACCGCTGTTTCTCGCGTTGGTGCTGCCGTGGGTACATCGTTTGTCATACTTTGTCGCTCTGCAAGCTTTTTGCACGATTTCCCTTAGGACGCATTGATTTCGACAAATTCTTATTGCGCACTTGCTTTCGCTCCGCTTGTCGCTCTGGCATTTCTGGACCTTCTTCGCTTTGCTGATCCCTTGGCAGGCCGTTCTCTAACCTCCATTTTGCATGGCAATAGTGTAAGCTCAAATTCGGACCCTGTGTAGGAGTCCACGTCCCATATTGTGACCGTGGTTCGCCGCCCTCTGTCTATTTTAGAGATCCTCCATAATTTTGTGCCTATTCTTTCAGCGTCGGTGATGCTGGAGTAACCATCTGTAACGATTTTTCCTGGGTACTGATCTTTTTCTCGGCAACTCCACTTTTTTGAAGAACAGACCTATTATCTAGTGTTATAGTATGTTTGGATTACTTTTTAACCTTTTTATTTATTAGCCAATGTCTAATATTTCGATCCACAATTCTTTGGAATAGAAATTCCGTCATTCGGCCCGGCCGATTCGATGGGACCGCTGCTCTTGCTTTCGGGCCCTCGGCGCCGATCGCATCCTCATCGCGGATTACCAGTTGGTCCTCTGGTAGCCTCTTGAAAGTTTTTCTCTTTTTTTAATTGTTTTTTGTCCGACCATTGAAACTGGAAAAAAGTTTTGCGTTCGGGTGTGTTTTAATTTTTTCTGTGTTTTCTCTGCAAATTGAGGTACTCAGAATAATCGCCGGAATCAGTCGAGCCATATATCATGAAGCCTTTTCAGTCGCGATTTGAACGACATTAAAAAATTTTGAAAAAGTTTATTTGTGTCGTGAAAATCAGTGTGAAATTTTTGATTCTTGGTCTTATTTTGAGCGGATAAGGTGAGCGTGCTAGCTTACTTTGTTTTTCAACCAAAAGTGGTTACCGCAAATAATCATAGTAAATTCTAGTTTGAAAATATATAAAGTTTTCTCAGTCGAGAGTAACCGGTCGGAATTCTCAATTTTTAGTCTAGTACGAGCGAATGGCGATTGAGCAGGATTATAATAGGGCTAATTATAAGCTTTTCCTGCTGCGATGAAAACTCAGTTTACTCCAGTAAAATCAATTTTTATAATTTATTTCAGCGCTTTCTTGGACGAAAAAAAAATTTTCTCTTTCTTTCACGATTAAAAAGTCAGGTAAGATGAAAAAGAATGGTGTGAATTTTTTTTCGACAGAGGCGAGGAACTTTGTTTTGAGTGTTTGTTTTTTTTGCACGCAAAGTTAGGTACCATAAATATTCATCGGACTGGGTTGAGTGATATATCATATTACAGCCCTTTCAGTTGTAATCTGAACGACATAAAATTTTAAAGTTTTCCTGTGTCGATAAAAATCATGAGTTTTTGATTTCTGGTATAATTTTGAGCGAACAAGTTGAGCGATCAGCCTTATTTTGTTTTTCAACCAAAAGTGTTCAACGCAAATAATCATAGTAATGGGTGGAGTGATATATCAAATTAAATCTTTTTCAGCCTTGATTCGAATGACATTAAACTTTTTTTAAAACGTTGGCCCAGCGTCGAGTTGTCCCAGTGTATATGAGCAGCCGTGGCGGAGTGGGTCATGCGTTCGAATCCCGTGCGTCATGCGTTCGAATCCCACTTCGGTCACGGTTGGAGGGGTCCCAGAGTCATCTGCCTCCTCAAGGTGAGACCGGCTGCGGCGAAATAGATGACACCTCTCTCCCCCACAGTTGGTCCTGCACTGAGCTAGTGATGGAGATCTAGACTTAATATCGAGCTAGTGATGGAATCGAGCAGGCTTATATTAGAAGATTAAGACTTGAAACTTAGTTGAACTCCAGTAAAATTGTTTTTCGAAGTTTTTTAAGGCAATATTCGGAGCATAAAATTTCAAATTTTCTGCAAAAATTTGTTTAAAAAAATATTTGAGAATTTTATCAATTTTTTTTTGTTTTGTTTGTCCTTTTTCGACTAAAACCGTTGCCCGGTTGACCTGTTTTGCTCTAAATGTCAAATATGCCTAAATTGCAGGCTTTCGTGAGTTGCATTTATCACACCATTCGCATATAAAACATGAAAAAGCGTTTTAATTATTTTCTTAAAGAATATGGTCGGAACAGAACACTCCGTGCTACTTGCACAGCCACCGGCTATCCTCGCTCTTTTTTTAAAAACAACTGTTGTCGATTATGCCTAAATTACTAGCTTTTTACGCGTGTGTGTATTTTTCTTATCGCTGATTTGAAGAACTTATTTACTTTAAGAACTTTTATTTGTAGTTTTTTTAAATGGTCGGAATATTCTGTGCTAATTGCACAGCAACAGGCTATCCTTGTTTATTTTTGCCGTCTCAACATTCTGTGCTTCTTGAGATGCAACCGGCTATTCTTTCTCCTTTTTGCGGTCTAACTTTTCTGTGATACTTGCACAGCTAACGGCTATCCTTGTTTGCTTACGCTTGCGATAAGCAAGCGTTAGTAAACTGGAAGATAGCCTTTTTCGGGTTAACAAAATCACTTGAATCGCTAGACCTCAATCACGTGCATACGTGCAAATTTATGTTCTACCGTTCTACTGTTACTACTGACAGTTCTTTTAAGAAGCGGTGCCTTAAGTTTTTGAAGACAGAATATTCCGTTTCAAAATTTTCGGTTTATCGGTTGTCTGATTATGTTTTGTCGGCTTAGTTGCCGCATCTAGGAATTTTCTTATTTTACAAAATAATTACAGAAAATCATTCGATAGCTTGGCTTACATCAAAAATAAACTTTATTAGCTTTTCTGGTACACGGTTTTTGAGAAAAATACTACGACTGAGGAGGTAAAAGTCCTATTTTGGAACCAGGCCAGAAATTTTTTTATTCAAAAGGGAAATATTCTGTTTTCAAAAAATTGCCAGCCTGTTTATGTTTGGTCGGCTTAATTGACTTGTTATGGATTTTTGGTGGGCTGTAAGTAGTTTTTATTGTCACAGAAAGTTTTGATTTGTAACTGTAATTTGTAAACTTACTATGTTTGTATTTTTTTTTTTCGTTTTTTTTGCTGGTTTGTTTTACTTCAATTGTTTTTGCGTATGTTTTATCGAGTGAGTGACCTGGCTAAGCGTTGTTTTAAAGGAAAAATAGATTTTTACGCTTTTGTGTTTCCAGAAGGGGAGCATAAAAATATTGATTTTCAGAATTTTCAAAAAGTTTTTCATTTGAAAACAGTTTTGCTCAACGGGAGTCTAACCAACTTTCGCCTATATTTGCGAAACGCCCATATTTGCTAAACGCCAATTATTGTTTTTAAAGTGAGCATCATTCCAGACAAGTTTCTGTTATGATTTATTTTCTTCAAAATGTTCTAATTGTTTATCGACTTAAGAGGCTTTTGTTTCATTTTCTGCCTGCTAGCTTGCAATGCTATGTGTGCGTGTGCGTGCGTGCGTGTGGTATCGCAAGTAGTGCGAAGCTCCGCTTCGCCTCTGTGTTGTAAATGTCCTTTTTATCTTCGTTGTAAAGGTAAAAGTGTGATAGAGGGGTCCCAAGAAACTAACCCTTAATGTAAATAGAGTGCCTCAAAATTATTCAACTTAAGTGCTTTGATGACGTCAATTATTGGATCGATTAAGTTTGCTAATGTGTGATTGCGGTATTTGCCTAAATTAGTGTGATTTGGGACCCCTCTCTCACGCCTGGTTTTTACCGGGACCCCTCTATTACACTTGAAACGCTATAACTATTTTTACGTTTGTTGCTCAGCTTCGCCTCAATGTAAAAAATTTCATTTTTACAGATGTTAGTATTGATGACAGAGAGTATGAAATGAACGTAAGCAAGCAGTTTTTGCGCTATGCAAGTAAATGCTTCTCAGAACGTATTAACCATTTTGTCGTGACAACGCCCATTTACTATGTCAACTCTGCGCCACATATAGGGCATGCTTATACGTCGCTTCTAGCCGACATCATCACACGATGGCAGAAAGTTAAAGATTTAGAAGCCGTTAATGTTTTCACTGCAACAGGAACCGATGAGCACGGAAATAAAATCCTTCAAGCAGCAGCTAGAACTGATCATTCAGATGTTAGAATGTTTTGCGATGAGCAATCAGAGCTGTTTCTTTCTCTTCTAAACGATCTCAACATCAATTATGGTGCTTTCGTTCGAACTACCAGCGAAAGTCACAGACAGAAGGTAGAGATGTTTTGGAATATTTTAATGAAGAGGGGAGCAATTGAGAAAGGGACATACAAAGGTTGGTACTCTGTAAACGACGAAGAGTTTCTGGCTGAGAGAGAAACTGAATTGATCACGCGTAACGATGGTGCACTAATTCGTACATCTAAAAGCAGTGGCCACGACGTGACGGAGATTGAAGAAGTAAATTACATGTTCGATTTGCACCCATTCAAAGATCAAATTTTGGACCATCTGAATAAGGGATGGGTACGACCAACTCATTTCTCTGAAATTGTAAGAGCATGGATTTCGGATGAATCAATTATGGAGCGAAAATTGTCCGTGTCCCGACCAAGTTCTCGCTGTGATTGGGGAATTCAAGTCCCCGATGATCCATCTCAGACTATCTATGTATGGCTCGATGCACTCGTCAGTTATTTAACTGCCACTGACAATAGGTTTGTAAACGGTTTTTGGCCTGCTGATTTACAAATAGTCGGCAAAGATATACTGAAATTTCATGCTGTTTATTGGCCTTCATTTCTATTAGCGGCAGAGTACACGCTACCGAAACGAATCCTCTGTCACTCTCATTGGCTAAGCGAAGGTCAAAAGATGTCGAAATCAAAAGGAAATGTAGTAGATCCCTTCAAATACCTTGGTAGCAACAATTCGGATTGCCTTCGTCTCTACCTAGTGGCTCAGAGTCATCTTTCAAGGGACGGAAATTTCAGTCATCAAAATTTTATTGAGTTGATTGATTACTTTGCAAATAGTTTCGGCAATGCTGCCGGTAGAGTTATGAACAAAAGATGTCTTGAAGTTATTGACTACATGTACCCATACCCAAGTGATATAAATTTCGAGAAAGCCTTGTCTGTATCAGGAAAACTGGTCGAAGAGTTAGAATGTGTCATCGAAAAAACTTATAGAAACTACGAGGAGTATGTTTTCAATCCAGCCTGGGAAGACATTTCAAAAGTTCTGCATTTGCTGAACAAATTTCTGCAAGACTCTAAATTTTGGAAAAGTTTTGATGACATAAACTTTGTTAGCTCTGTTGTTTATTTGACATTTGAGTGTTTGCGTTGCTGTTCAATTTTACTGTCGCCCATTACGCCTCTTACCTCATTTGAACTCTTGGATCGCCTTTCAGTTCGACCCAATGAGATGGTGTATCCAAATTGTAAAATGTACATATCTAAGAATGAAGATCCCCCTTGGTCTGGACGGACACTGAGGCCAGACATAGTTCCTCTCGTTCGAAAATTTTCATTTGAATAAAAGTAATCAAAGCTGTCTAAACTTAAATGCCGAGGCCCGTGGTTGTTCTTTTGAGATGTTATTTTTTCTGAATAACAATTACCTCTTTCAGAGTGGATGGAATAATCTGTTGACTTCTTAAAATCATAGTTAGACTCAAAAACGGAATGTCCTTGAAAATAATCTTGTGTCATTTCTGTGAAGCTCACGGGCCCCGTGTCTTGTTCTGCTCAGAGACCAAATCCCAGGCACAAGTAAAGTCGAAGTCCAATAGTGAAAGGATCAATCATCAAGGAGGTGGGATGTGTGTTGCTTGCACAAGCGTGCAAGATCATCCAGGCTTCCTATCGAGTGATTCAAACTGCATTGAAAATGCAGTTGCAGGAAGCGATATTGAACCAGTCGTATATAAGAGTTCACAGTACCCTGATTCTGCCGATGACTTCTCGCATGTTAGACAAGCATGTGTTAAAAGCCTAAGCAACGAGGTGAGAAGCTTGAAAAAGGAATCAATTCAGGCACTGGTTTTGTTTTTGGCCCTGGTTTTTTTGAGGCTACTCAAATCTTTCATCATGGTTTGCTAGTATAAACTATTCTTGCTATTGCTTGTTGCTATTGCTACTATTCTTGACATAAAAAAGCGGCTTAACCACTGACGGACTTTTGTGGATGTAAGTTATGTTTTTTCCACGCTAAATTAGTGCAACAGAAAACTCGTACGGTGCTTAGTTTTCATGCAGTTTTTTCATTTGTTTTCTCAATATCGGGGAAAGTAAAATAAAATACAAAAAAGCTATCAAAAAAAAGATTTCAGAGCCTGAGTTTAAGTTTGAAAAGGGTAGCTCCTTTACCAGTATGCTTTTTAATGTCTTTTTTTAATGTCTGGATGTGAAAAGAGAATAGTTCGTGTACCACTACTGCAGGCTGTCTCGATCACTGACAGTAACATTTGCAAAAGTCACTTTCGCTATAGGTTGTAAATTAATGCAAGCTTTTGCTTGTGCATTTATTTCTTGAAATAGAAATTTTATCGTTCTTAATCTTTCTATCGAGCTACAAATTATTAACTGGCGTTTCACTTGACTCATTTTCAAGAAGTTCCCATGTGGACATGTTATGATGCCAAAATCTCGCAACGGTTAAAATTTTTACTAATGTCAACGAATTAAACAAGCGGAGCGTATTGTGATAGTACGTTGCAACTTTTCTCCCAAGAAGTTGTAAATAAAAGTGCTACTTTTGGTGGCACTTTCTCAATGTGAAAGTGCTGCTTTTTTGGAACTTTTAAGGCAGAAGACAATTTGGCTGTATGTTTTGCAATTAATTACATGCAAATTTAGTGTGAGTGTGAATTGCTTTAGCTTATTACATGCAAAATTTTTGTTTTTGTGAAATTTGAAGCTCTTTTTGACGCTTCTGTTTTTCTGTTAGCTTCATTGAACAGTTGTGTAGAGCATCCAACTATAAAATATGAATTTCAGAGGACTGAGCATTAATTTCTTACTCATTAATTTCTTAGAGTTGATAAACGTAGTTCAGACTCCTATATAGAATGCGACAATTTTTTTTTCTGGAAAAGTTTTTAAATTTATTCAGGCTCAAATTTACTTTTTCGCAGTTTAAAAAAATTCAGTTCATTTTTTTTGTTAAGAGGAAGGCAAAAACTCCACTATCGAACAGCGAAAGTGTAAAATTCACGATAAACTTAAACGACTGTTAGTTTCGAAAGTGAAATTTCTGAGCGAAATAAAAATTTAAGTTATTGATCCAGTTCTTACGCTTGGGAGCAGCTAGTATTTTAGTACGAACATTCTTTTATTTGCACTTGCGAAGCGATAGTTATAGTACGAGTTTTCTTTTTTCCAACCTAAGTAGCAATTTTTGCACCTTTACAGCTTAGCTTATTGATAACTTAAGCTTTGACATTCGAATATATATAAGTTTACACAGTTGATGCATTTTTAATTCATCAAGTGAACCGAAGAAAGCTATTTGTGTTGTTCAAACGACATAATCATAATAAAATCTCGATATCAGAAATTTTCTAACTCAATATATGTCGCAATTTTTCGAAATGCATAACTTATAAACAATGTGGTTTTATGATTTGCGGTTTATTACTTGCGAAATTGTATCTTTTTGTGTTTTTGCTGCATCGAATTGGCAATTTATTGGCATATGAGCTGCTTTATTGGTGGCTAGTTTTTGGAGATTTAAGCATCCGTGGCCGAATGGTTAGTGCGTGAAACTCAAATTCGATTGGATTTTTTGCTAAGCTTCGAGTTTTTGCAAATTCGAGGCTTACTTCTACCTTTACTTGTGTCACTTGATAGAGCTGCTTTTTGGAGGCTTCACCTCTGTGTTTTAACTTACTCGCAATTAAAAGTGTTCAGTTGTGTGCCTTTTTGCTATAATGACGATCTGTAGCATTGGAAATTGCATAGCATCTGTTCTCGGCTTTGTTTCTGGCTAGTGTTTGTGATTGACTAAGCGTACGTGGTTAGTGCTTGAGACTCTTACTTTCTAGGTCGTAGGTTCGAGTCCGAGACGTCGCCGACTTTATACTAATTCGAGGCTCATTTTAACTTTTTATTGCACTTCGTAGAATTCTAACTGCTTTTTGTCGTGTTCTCGCTTGTGTTTGCGAAGCGCAGCTTCGCCTCTATGTCTCAAATTTGGTTAGTTTTATCAAAAAAGTGCCAGTCACAAATTTGTGTAGATTTGGGCTTTTTTACTGTGAAGTTCGAGTCATGAGGTTTTTTCAAAGTATTTTTTCAATTTTTTTTCTGTACTCAATGTTTACTCAAAGGTCAATATTTTTTTTGTTTACTTGACTCGCTTTTTGACACTTCTTTGCTTTTAGTTGCTTGTTTTTAATCCATACAATAAATTGAATGCAATTTTCCGAGGTCGTTCGCGACTCTAATCCAAGGCGAAAGCTGTAATTCGATAGTCTCGCTTTTTTCGCAACAAACATTCAAAAAGTGTTTCGTTTCTGTTATCATTTCCTCAAAATTTGAAACTCGAATCCCTATAGTGGGGTGCTTCCAGGGTGTTCCAAAAATTATGAATTGGGACTTAAAATCTCGGTGGAAGTCATTTTAGCTTACGAAAAATGACAAATTATCTGATTTCTTTTTCAAAGTATCCAAAATTTAGATAATCTTCTGAACATTTATAACTCTAAATCCTAGGGAGGGGAGCGGACTGTTTGGGTATTTATTAGGGTTGCATTTTTTCTCTAAGTCTGACAGCTAAAATCTTTATAGTTTCCAAGATAGGACGTTGACGTTATTTATGATTTTCAAAAAATTGAATAATTTAGATCCGTAAAAATCCTTTCACAGAATTTGAGGTTTTCAACCCTATGTCGCGGTGCTGTCACTATTTAAAAGGTTTTAGTTTCTGAGGTTATGACTTTTTCAGAAATTTGAATAGTTGGATTTTTTTTTCTCAAAAAAATTATTGGTGTTTTTCTAATTATTCACGCGTACTAAACGATTGGTGGCATCAAATGGTAGACGTACGGGTTTATAAAAATGAAAAACGTTTTGTAAACAAAAATGACATTATTGATTATGCAAAAACTATTCATTGTAGAAGTTTTATTCGAGTTAGAATACGAAGATTCGAACCCCAGCTGTTTGCAGCCTTGACAACTGGTTTCCATAATATGAACTGGTTCATAATGTGTTCATTTTTTGAGACTGGGTTCATATTTTTGTCTCAGGGATTCGACCCCTCGCAAACCAAAGTGTCACCCTATTGATATTTTTTATGACATCAATTTTTGGTCGACGAACCCTAAAATTTTTCTAAAGGCGCCTTTGGTGCAAATATTTACTAATTTTTAAGGGGAGCCGCAATTTTTTGATCAAAATGTTCCTTGTTTTCCCAAAAGTTTGCCTGCGGCGCATTTTTTTTGTCTAAATCACCCTTGCCAACTGGTTCATATAAAATATATTCATATAAGCTCATATAAGGTTCAAAAAAATTCATGTTTGAGCCTAACGCAGTGCTTCATATTTCAATTTTCAAAAATTGGCAAGCCTGGCTGTTTAGAAATGTCCTTTGTAGTGAAAAAGAGACCTTAAGCTTGAAAATGTTTCAAAACCATTTAGTTTATCGAAATAGAAAACGCTTTGGGTGCTTACAGTCTGTTTTTATGTCAGCTTTAATCTTCGTGATTGTGTGTTGTATAGTTTAGGAAGAAATTTTCACGTTCACTTGGTTCGAAGCACTATAAATAACTGACACATGCTAGTTAAAAACAGTTTTTTTTTCCCGAATTAACGTTTTTTTTTTAGCCTTTTATTATTTAACCTTTTTTGGTAGTCTAGGTTGGCTCAATTTTTCTCTAATCACTTTTGCTTTAATCACGATTTGTACCATTGGAAATTTCAAAGCATCGGTTCTGCTTTATTTGTGGCAAGTGTTTGATGATCATTAAGCGTTTGTGGCCGAGAGAGGTGCTTGAGACTCAAAATCTCGATCGAGGTCGCAGGTTCCAATCGGACACGTAGCAAAAGTTATACTAATTAGAGGCTTTTTTCTACTTTTTCTTATTTCATTTTATAAAGCTCTCTTTTTTTGTCGTTTTCTCGCTAGTGTTTGCGAAGCGCAGCTTCGAGTCGATAAATATTCAGAAATCGAACGAAATGAATAAATTATAAAACGTTTCATCGGTTTCGAGAAAAAAAACGATTCAAAATTTTTAATGTTGTCTAATGTCGAGCTAATCAAGCGAAACAGTAATTTGAAAGTTGCCAATTTGACCAAATTGTGAATATTAATGGGCACTATTCACAAGATTTCTTTTCAAGTTTATCATAAGGCGGCAAATTAATCTGGCTCAAAAAGAACTGAAAATTGAATCTAAGCGTTTCATTTAGTCTTATTAGTGCGTTACTGGACGATTAACATATAATTTCATTCTTTACATAGCATGCTGGGGCGGCGTTTTTTGTTGGTTTTCACTAGTTATACGGTTAAGTTTCTCTTTAATTGTGCTTGGTTCCGAAGTCCAAGCGTTATCTAACCGTCGCATAAGAGTTTCCTGTTAACATCCTATGCAACCAAATCAGCGAGTCTTCCGATTGCTTGATTTTCAATATTCTGATTATGTTAATTCTGCAAGCGGACAAATGTTATGTCCATAATTTTCCTATGCGGTAAGTTTTCTGCCTTAAATCGAGTGTCGGACTATAGTTTTTTTGTGTTTTGTCGGCTAACTTGCCGCAACATGAACTTGTTAAGCGATTTAAGCAATTTTCACTATTTTTGAATTTCTCTTGTGATATATTCATGTAGTTGAGTAGCTTATTGTATTGCAAGAAGTTTTTAGAAAGGTCTTACAACCATATAATAATTTTTTCCCATAAATAACTGTGTTCACAGGATGACTGAAGAATGGTCATTTACAACCGTACTTAACTCAACGAGCAGTCAACCATCAAGCATGTTTGCAATTTAATTTCTGCCTGTAATTTCTGTAAGAATTTGCAGCCTTTTCAACCAATGCGTTAAGAGTGGTTATTTTCCTCAAGGCTTAAAAGTTGCAAAACTTATTCCCCTTTTAAGGGAGGTTTAAAAGACTCTTTGGAAAATTATAGACCTATTAGTTTACTCAGTTCACTCTGCAAAATTTTCGAAAGGATGATATTTATTAGAATATATAACTTTGCTAACAAGCAGAAGATTCTTTATGAAAAACAATTTAGTTTTCAAAAAGAAAAAGTCGTGCGTGGTTGCATTAATCGAATTCACCGAATTTATTAGAGAGGGATGGGACAAAAAATTGGTTGGTCAATCATGCCTTGTTGATCTCAAAAAAGCATTTGATACCATAAATCATGATCTTCTTTTGGCAAAATTGGAAAAATACGGCTTTAGAGGCCGGATTCTTTGTCTTCTAAAAAATTACTTTACAAACCGGTTTCAATTTGTTCAAACTGATAATGAAATTTCTTCTAGTCGCTCTATGTCATGTGGAGTACCGCAAGGGTCAGTTTTAGGTCCGTTTTTGTTTTTATTATTTATAAATGATCTTCCGAAAATTGCTGAAGGATCTGAGGTTGTTCTATTTGCTGATGATACTACAATATGCAAAGCAGAAAAAAACTGTTGCGATAGCTTTGATAGTTCGTGAAATAAAGTGGATAGATAGTTCAAAACGAATGGACTTTGTGTCAATCCTGGTAAAACTCAAATACTGAAATTTGGTAATAACTTTTCAAAAGATTACTTTGCTTTTGGTACTACAGTTCAAATTACAAATGTGTGTAAATACTTAGGCATTTTTGTTGATAAGAAACTTAATTTCAAATTTCACATTGAACATGTGTGCAAAAAATTAACTAAATTTTGTGGCATTGTCTGGAAAGCTAGGTATGCTTTTTCTAAACAGCAGATGCTTAGCTTCTACAAAGCATATGTAAATCCTACAATCACTTATGGAATTTTAATATACGGCAATACATCCCAATTTCACCTTACCGAGATAATGAAACTACAAAAAAGAATCTTGGGAGCAATTTTTTTCAAACGTAGATGTGAATCAATTAAGGAAATTATGGACGAAAACAAATTGCTTACTGTTTTTGATTTATACTTTTTTGAGATGTTCAAGTATTTCTTTATGGAATTGCGATTGGACAAAAAAATAGTTTTCTGTCTCATATTTACTCCCAAAAAAGTGGACCATGTACCAGGAGCAAAACGAAAGGCGTAATTAAAGTGGCAAAATTTTCTACTACCGCTAAACAGAGATCGCTTATAGTTAGAATTGTGCAGGCTTCTAACTATTTAAAACAAAATGACTTGATACCTGTTAATATACATGAAATGTCAGAAGTTAGTTTGTTGAGTTGATGCTGGCTGTCTTCTCTTTACTCTCCAGGATATCCTACTCGATGAACAGTACTGCTCTTTAGGATCTCCCTCCAGGCATAGTATATTGCTTTTGTCGTTGTATATGTAGCTGGTAAAGTAATTCATATTTAACAGACGGTTCAAATCAAAATTTACGTTGTTGATACGTTACCAACTCCGATTTCAAGATATCATTTTTTTCTCATTTTTCTCTTTTTTCAGCCTGAAAAAAGGTTTCTGCTGAAAATATATTTTGGATTAGCGGCCATTTTTTGAATCGTTTGAGGAGCAAAAAGGTTAAATTGAAATGTTTTAGAGGGGGTTTTAAAAAATTTTTCAACTTTTTTTTCGCTGCAACGCTTGTCTGCTCAAAAAGTTGGCTTTGTTACGCCTTCTAAGTTTTATTTAGGTCCTTCTTCACGATTCAAGTTTTTTACTTCTTGGCATATTTTCTTGAAAGGAATTTTTGTTCAAAACAAAATCAAGCCAAAGTTTTTAGTAAATCAATTTTTCAAAATTTGGTAGCTCAAAAAAATCCCTTTCTGTCGGTTATCTTGTCATCCTATGTATGAGTTGTATCGCAAGTATTGTGAAGCTATGCTTCGCCGCTGTTTGTAAAATTTTGAGGTGCAAGTTATTAAGATTCTGATTTTCGCAATTTTAAATATACTTTTAAAGTTTTTTTATTTTTCGATAAATGGGTTCATTCGCAAGTAGTAATAGTCATTCATTTTTCAGAGTATGTGAATGTAGTGGAGACTCTTATGTAGGTCGTGATTACACATTTTTTTTTCAGGAAAATAGTGATTTTTGCGGTACTTCTGATTTCTTTGTAAGTTCAATTCATTTCTTTTCTTAAAAGGAAGGCAAACTCAACTTTTGAGCAGCATAATTGTAAAGGACACGAAAAACGTGATCGATCACAAGTGGATTATAGTTTACAGATGTCCCAGTGGACTAAAAAGCTTACCTATTGATGCAGTTTTTTCAAATTGAGTTAATTTATCACAAAAGTATCAATCATTAATTTTTCTTGAATTCAAAAGCTTCAAGGGCATTTATTTTTGCTTTCAAGTTTTTTCAAAAAACAAGATAGTTTTTTTCATTTTTTTTGTTATTATTGGCTTTTTTTTCAACTGTCTGTTGGCTATGTTTGTATCGCAAATGGTGCGAAGCTCTGTTTCGCCTCTGTTTCCTGATTTATTGTAGTTAGCTTTTTAATTTCTTGTATCTACAATTTAGATTTTTTAATTTCTTGTATTGGCCTTTCATTTTTGGCTTGGTCAGTAATAAGTGGTGGCTTATGTTTTAAATAACCTGAAAAATAATTTTATCTGATTACAAATTCTTGAAGCGAAAGTCCGCTGATTTTTGCGACTAAGGAATCTTTTGCCTAGTTTTTAAGTTACCTGAAAAATAGTTCTATCTGATTACAAATTGGTGAAGAAAAAATCCGCTGATTTTTGTGACTAAGGAATTTTTTGCCTTGTTAAGTTTGTCAGTTTGAGTATTGAATTTTAAGTGTTTCAGAGAATGGATCAGTTTTGATCGATATTGAAAGCTTATGTTTTTTTTTGTGACAACTTATGTTTTGCATCGAAATTGCCTCTGCACAAATTATATTTTTGCCTGTTGCAATTTTAGCTAGCATTGTTGACTTTATTTTTTGGTTAGGTGGGGATGGGCCAGAAGTCATGCCTGTTTTTTGGAGACACTAAAAACGGATACACCCTGTCACAAGTGTTTAACCTGCATGACTCAAAAGCACGAGGTCTACAGCGTCTTTACAGCCTGCTAGCTTGGAGTCGCGATCGCTATTTTCTAATCAACTACTGGTCCTTTTTCGAGGAAAACTTCCGAATTGTGATCGATGGTTTGGTCAAGAGAGCAGAAGAAATATTCACTTCGGAAGGTAGGAACGATGTAGTGCCCATCACAAACTTACAAAGAGCTAGGCCAGTGACTGCTCGTAGTTTGTCTACTTTGGTGAACTGCGATGATATCTTCGAGAGACTCCATAAGCAGTTTGCGTGGATACTTAAGGTGATTTTTGTTTAACTTCTAGTGCGCCTAAATTAATTATCCTTGGGCTAAGCAAGGGTGTTGCAACCGGGTACTCGACTTTTTTTCTCGTAAGCAACTTTGTTCAAAGGATGACTGAAGTTTTAGTCATCTACAAGTCTGCACTTTTGGCAATTACCAAATGACTTTTCTGAGATTGTCTGCATTGTAAATGCCCGTTCTATTCAAAATTAGTTTTTTTTTGGTGGCTGTAAATTTACGAACTCCGATTTCAGTATCTTTTTTTGTATTTATTAGGCTTAAAAGGTTTTGGCTTCTAATATGTCGCTTAGAGTCCTCTTTTTGAGTCGTTTGAGGGGCAATGAGGTTTTATCTAAATTATTTGAGGGGGACTTGATAATTTTTTTTGAGTTGTTAAGTTAGCCGTTAGTGGGAAGCTCTCCTGCATTAGTGACTACTTAAATTTTGTACACAAAAAGTTATGGTCCTCGGAAAAGTCGTTTTTTAAAAATGTTACTGAGCGTTTTTTTTTCTAAAAGTACTCTTATATAGGTCTTGCTGATTTTTTTTGTTTTTAAGGAAAAAGTATTAAAATTTGTTCACGCTCAATTTCGGTTTTTCGCGGTTTGACTTGCGATTTATTTTTTAAATTTTAGTGCATTACTATTGTTAAAAGGAAGGCAAACTTCGCTATCGAACAGCAAAATTGTAAAGCTCAAGAAAAACGTGATCTACTTCTAATTTCGAAAATGCAAATTAATTATCAGATTTCCCAGCGAAATAAAAGTTTTGACTATTGATCCTGTTTTCTCAATTCTGAGAGCTCAAAGTTCAAAGAGCTTTACGGCTATCTAATTTTTTCTACGAAATTCAAAAGTTGAAATTTCACAAGTCGGTTTTTTTTGTTTCTTTGCGTTCATTACTCTTTTCTAACTGTCAGCTGGCTATGTTTGAGTTTTACCGAAAACTTCATTTTCATATCTCAGATTTTGGTTGCAATCCAAAAAACGGCTTGTTGGGAAGCTCCTTTGCATACGCGACTATGCCCAAATTTGTTGGCTCAAAAATGACACAAAAAAATTTGGCCCTCTTCTTGATTTTTGACAATTTTTTTTTTGATTTTTTTAACTTTTCTCGAGAAATACCCGGACAAACATAGGTTTTTGGATTCAATCGAAATAATATATTGTTTGAGTTTCTTCTGCACGAGCGGTTACGCCCATTTTTTTAAAATAAAAAGCTATGATGCTCGGAATTGTCAACTTTCTGATTAGTTGACCGTTTTTTGGACTTTTCTCGATAACTATTATGCCAAATCTGATATCATAGGTTTAATCGACCCAATATGTTGTTGGATGTTCACCATCAATTTGCTATGCCAAGGTTCTTTTAGAAAAGCATTACGAGTTTCAAACAAGTAAAAATTTTGACAATTGGACCGTTTTTTTTATAGTTTTTTGAATCCACTCGAAAATTACCGTACCAATTCTCAGGTTTAGTGTTCAATCGGGAAACCCGATTTTGGGAAACTTCTCTTTTTTTTCCGGCCAAGACCACCTTTTAGTAGTAGAAGAAAACCGATTTTGGAAGGAAAAGTTGACCGTTTGAAAGTTGAACGTTTCTTAGAAACTTTTTGAATTAAAAAAAAAAACTACCCCATCAAATCTGAGATAAAACCTTCAGTTGAATGAAGTGGTTGCCCTTTAGAATTTATTGTAGGAAAAAGGCTAGGTCTATGAGAAATTTCCAAAATCGCAAAAATTTAATTTTAGTAGAGAAAGAACTAAGGTTTTGGACGAAGTCCAAATTTTGAGATTAAGCTTTTTTCCCAATTATAACTAAATCAAGAAATATCAAATACGTACCTCCAGGTTTAGCTGAGCCACAGTTTTTTTCCATCGAGATATACGAAAATTTTGGTTCACCTAGTTTTTACAACATTTTTTTCGACTTATGTTGGTGTTTAACATTCAGTTTATAAAATTTTTATGTCGCTCAAATAAGAAAATAGGCAGAGTTGTTGAATACCGCGTCTATTAACATAGGCAATTTTTATGTGTGGATCAATATATTTGAAGCGCCGAAGGCGCAAATAAGGCTTGTTATTTATTTGGCGCCATAAGAAAAAGTATGAGGTTGTTCCGTAAAATCATTGTCAAAGAGTAGCAAAGCCGGATCCTTTGGGTACGAAGGGGTCGAACTCGTTGGAGATTTATTTTTAAAGTTTGTTTTCAGAACTCCTACTCTTTCTACGTAGAAGTTCCAGTTCCAGAGTGGATTAAAGTGACAGAAGAAGACTCAGAAGTCGCCAAAGAGATCTCCGTCGACTTGTTGAGCGAAGACTTTCTCGGAACTTCCTTAGAAACTGTTCAAAATGATTCTTTAAATGGGAAAAAAAGCAGTAAAATCCTGTTGCCATTGAGAGCTCTTTATCAGCTTCTAGGTGGCAGTTACTTTATCATAGTGTGTCTTCATACCCTGATAGGAAATCAAGTTATACTACGTGGAACAAATCAGGATTTCGTCACTGCCATATTGAACACATTTGCTAAATTGATACCGCTTGGCTGCTGTAGAATCAAAAGTCTTGCCGATGAGTATTTTGAGGCTTTTCAATTCAATTTTTTGGGTCTTAAATCATGTGTTAAATTACCCGATCATGTTGTAGATTCAGACTTGTTTGTGTTATTAGACGTTAAAGGAGAAGGCGAGAATCTTAACCACTACCAGTTTGAAGTTACCTCTAATTTGTTTTTTGAACGAGACCAGATGCCCCAAATTCTGACGAATCTGGAGCGAATCTTAGTAAATACACACGATTTCAGTGCCTCTGACGTTATAGCATATTACTTTTGTCTGAAAGAAGAACTAATGGGAAAAGTGGAAACCTTTTATCAGTTCACTAGGCTTTCGCCTGACTGCAAAAACAGTAGGTTGCAATCGTGTTTCAAAATACTGGATGCTAATAGTGAACTGGAACAGATGATGTTGCGTTTCTGGCTCAACGGACTCAGCAACAAGTTCAAAAAGAACCAAATGATATATTTGAAGGAATTTCAAATTGAAAATATTTCCTGAATTTTGATGAAAAAAAACTATTATTTATTGGAAATAGAGTAGTGCTTGAGTAGTTTAAGTTAATTTTAAGTGAAAGAAATCCATTTTAGCTGCTTCGCATTTAACAGTAATGATTTTTGAGCTCCATGTTCTTGTCGACGGTGGCGTGACTGTGAGGATCTGTTAAACGTTTCTGCGAGGAATCAAAAAGTGGAAGTTTTCTTTTGAAAATCTTAGATGGAAAATTAGAGCCGTAAAATTTGTTGCATAGCTTCCATAAATTTTGCGTAAAAACTTTTCCCATTTTGTTTTGTTTGATTAAGTGTGTTATGGCTATCCGCTGGGCCTGTTCTAACCAGAAGGAGCTTGCTTTTCTAGTAGGACACTTTGTTTTCACTGCAAGCCGTAACTTTCATTGCACAGTTTAGGCGAGATTTCATTTGAATTTGGCAAAAATTTGTTGCTTTTTGTTCTTTTGTATTGAAATCGATTGTTAATAGCTTGTTGCCTTTTAATTAAGACAAATATCAGAGTGTTTGCCATGTAGCGGCACAGGAGGTAATGTGCATGGCTTTTGAGCGGGACTTAGGGCTCAATTTCCGGCGTTTGCTTGTTTTGGTTTTCTGCCCTTCCCTTTCGATAAGCAAGGGTATTGCAACCGGGTACTAGATTTTTTCCCGTAACTTTATCCACAGAGTAAACCATTTAGAGACACTTTCGAATTATTAACTTTACAAATATGCATCTGACTTGTTTTGCCTATATAGGGCTAGAGCTTGCTTTGTTGGTGGTTGATGCAAAAATTTTCTGAATGATTTTTTGAAAATATTCAGTAGATTCAGCTTTTTAAATATCGGCTTCAATTCGTGTTTCAGTTTTTTAAGTGTCGGCTTCAATTCTGTTTAACAAATGTTTTGTTTTGTTTCTGGTCGTTTTTTGATGTTGATTGACAGTGTTTGTTTGAAATTTTAAAAAAGTCAACTTTTTTTTCAATAAAGCTTTGTCGAAATTTTTCCTGATACGTTTTGAGCGATCTGATGTTCCGATTATCTTTTTAGGTGAATGTCATTGCAGTCATGAGTTTCTTTGCAATCTGGCTGAAATATTTCTGTGGAACTAATACTTTTTTAAGCAAAAGACTCTGGATTGAGAGGCCTTAAATGCTACAAAATCACAAATTGCCTTCAAAAAGTAAAAATTTTTATTTTGCTCGTAATATATCTAGCCTATAATAAATTTAAGGGCAGGCTTCACTATCTCGCCATGCTTAAGTTTTTTCAACGTAATGTTTTTGCAAGTTGAACGAAAGAGTTTTGACGTTCAAGCTATATCGTACATTGCAATATTTTCGATTTTCCTGTTTGTTTCATCAAGTTTGAGTTGAGAACCCAATTAGGGGATGCTGTCAGCGTTCCCTCATGAGTTTAAATATCGGACCTAAAATATGAATACCCAAATTCTTCTAGTTTATGAGATACGACGATTTTGATTTTAAAATTTTTCAGAAAATTTAGATGTAGAAAACTTCAGATAAAGTGAATTCTCAACCATGTTGTGAGGCGCTGTCAAGTTACTCTCAGGCGATCTAAATCTGGACTCCAAATATGAATGCTCAAATCCTTTAGTTTTCGAAATCTGACGTTTTCTTGATTTTTGCAAAAAAAATCTGAAAAATTAGATATTAAAAAGTTCATTGAATCTGAAATTCCTAGCCCGGTAGCTGGGTTATGTCAGAATACTCTTCTCAGGGTTTGCATATATTGCTTCTAAAAATGACAGCTCAGGTTTTTTTTAATTTGCGAGATCTGACGTTTTTATAAAATTTTTCATAAACCTGAGAAAACCTGGATATGAAGAATTCATTGAATGTGAAATTCCTTACCCTGTAGTTGGGTTCAGTCATATATAAAAAAATATAATACATTTGTAATTCCTAACCCTGTAGTTGGGTTCTTTCAGGGTAGTCTCAGAGGTTGCAAATCTTAACACCAAATATTTTTTCAAATAAACCGCTAGAATAAACGATTGATCGCGGCAAATGATATACGTACAGGCAACGAAAAACATTAATTATATTAACAAGAATCTCACTTTCAAAATTAGTGAAATGAAATTGTTTCAGAAGTTTTTTTTCAGTTATGGAAAGAGAAAGTGCAGATGTATGCTGGCGACGATTCTAGGGTTTTGTTTTTCTGTTTAAAACACGAATATCTGAAACCCAGTAATTTTGGATATTTGACCATTTTAAAAGAACCTTAAAAAGGAAATTTTTTTTCATTGTTCAATTAATGAAATTTAAAAGGTTGTTGGATGCCCCCGTCTATTGTTACGGTTGAATCAACGTTGTTTTTTCATATATTTTTTAACTAAGCGATTTTCGCGTTCATAAATGTGCTTGAAGCACCGTATGTGCGAGTTGTATCTTAAAATAACAAATTTTGTTTATTTTTGCTATTTGTTTCTGGTTCACTAAATGGTTAACTCTTGGTCTGTTAAGTTTTTTTTGTAAGTGTAAGCAGGTATGTGTTATTTAGGTTTTTCGTTTGCATACCTACAACATGTTTCTGCTAGCGAAGAAAAATAGACGACCGTTTTTTCGGCAGCATTTTTTCTGCATAATTTTTTGTCTCACTCTGTTTGGATTCAGTTCCTAGCAATTGCTCATCCTTATTCCTCACGATGCCTATAACTTTGCGATAAGCAAGGGTATTGCAATCGGGTACTAGGCTTTTTTCTGTAAACAACTTTGTCCACAGGACTCACTCTCGACTCCTTCACCACTTCGTCCTCTTTGCAAATCCTCCTACTCTCGGTTGCAAATATTAGGCATGGTTGAGTATGTTATTTTAAATATCCGTCCTGTTCAAATTTTGCTTTTTACGTTGGTTGTAATTTTTCCGTATATTGTTTCATTAGACGTGAGAATGAAGTTTGTGTGTGTGTTTGTTTGTCTATTTGGGGGACTTGATTTTTTTGAAGTTTTTTTTGGCCTATAGGGTATCTGCTTAGGCATTTCCTGCTTTGTTACCGCTTGATAACTTTTCTTTCGACGCTAGTTTCACATTCTATTGTCTTGGCTCGTTTTTGTTTCAAATCTAGCCTTGTCGATAGATCTAGTTTTTTCGAAATGTTCGATTTTTTTTCGACTTAGAGGCTTCTTTGTTTTGTATTGTATCGCAAGTGGTGCGAAGCTCAGCTTCGCCTCTGTGTAGATTTTTTTAAATCGGTTCAAATTAATGGCACCTCGCATTTTGAAAAAATGTCAAACGTTTCTCTTTCTCTATATTTTCTGCTTTTAAAAAACGCGCTCGGTATTTGCTTATGCTAATTCAATGCTTGCCATTGTATTTTGCTACAGGTTTTCGTCAAATTAAATTTCATATGAGATAAACGTGAAAGTTTCGGGTGTTGTTTTTTTGACAATTTCTCATTTTTCAATATTTGGTGGTTTTTTGTATCACAAGTGGTACAAAGCTTAGCTTCGCCCCTGTGTTCAAATTATCTACTCTGTAGTTGAATATTTTATAAGACTTTATATTTGAGCTTTATGCGAAGCGCTGCTTCACCTTGGTTGAAATAATGTTTCGGGAACGTTTTTGAAACCATCAATTGCACAAATTTTATAAAGTGAAAAGTGACGCATTTTATGTTGCTAGCGTAGACTTGACTTGAAAAATTAATTTCAGAATGAGGAATGTCTAACGATGGAGGAGACGTAATAATTGAGTCGCCCCTCAACCCCAATGTACCCCCGTTTTTCCCCGGCAACACCCACCAAAAAGAGCCAGACACCACTGAAAGTACAAGAGAAGAAAAATCTCTGGACGAACAAGATGAAGACCAGGAAGAATGTCCTGTTCAATCAGAAAACTCAGATAGACGTTTGACGTCAGAAAACGGACAATACGAGTCGGAAACCTTATCATCTGTGTTACATGATCAAAAAGATGAAAACGAGGACTGTGAAGAAAACATAAATACAGACTTACATATCCAAAGTAAACAAGATGAAATGAAAGAATCGGATGCCCATTATAATGAAGAGTTAGACGCTGTAGGTTCGCAAGAGGCCAGCGCTGTAGTTGCAGACAATGATTTCGACGACTTCGCTCCGTTTGACATTGCGCCAGTGCACTTGGTAAACGAGGGGACAGAATCCAGCGAATCCAACAAAGAATTTAGTAACGACGCTGAAGACGAGTCAGTAAGTAACACTGGCAGTTTAAAAGCTTCTATACTTAAATCGGAAAATGAACAAATCGACGGCATCGAATGCTGGAAGTCATTCTCCAATACTGATTGCAAAGAGAAACAAGAAGACGTTGAACGGGATGTCGCTAATTTTGAATCATCTTCTCTAGGTCAAGAAGATAAACCCATCGGAAGTAGCAAAAAAGAATCACAATCTGATGGCACAGAAGACGGATTAAACGTAGTCGTCGAAGAACTTCTGACTCATACAAAAAACAATCATTCGATCCAAAGCGAATTAGAACCTCTAAATTTTGAAAGCGGACAAAGTGAAACTACGAGCTCAGCAGAAGATTTCGATGATTTCGCCTCTTTTGAACAAAATAGCGGAACCTCCAGTAAAGCGACTGAAGATGCTGATAGAAAAAATCCAGAAGAATATTCATATTTGAAAAATGAGGGAGTTTCAGACGTCCTATCTAAAGACATAAAAGAAAATCCATCTTTTGGCGAGGAACCGTCTCGGACACTCGACGAACAGGAAGCCTGTATAGATGAATGGGCCGATTTTGACTCGGGAATTCAGAATCATTGTGAAAAAATTGACGAAAATGAACTGTTTAAAGAGAAGCCAACTAGCATAGAACCAGAAACAGAAGATCGCAGTACAATCTCAGATACCAAAAACCAAAGCGCAATCGAAGAATCTTCGCCCACTTTATTTGTTGAAGGTGACCTGAATAATGAAACATTAGAGGAAACTGTAGACAAAATCACGACGGAGAGTGATAAAACTACATCATTGGCTGATGCTAATGAACCGGAAAGTAATGAGAACCCAGAATTCTCTAAATGTAAAGAGAATTTATCTACCTCTAATGTAAATAACGTGCTAACTAAACAAAAAGATTTTGCAGCCTTTTCGGAAACTGACAAAGGTTTAGAAGAAAACAATGAAGCTCTAAACGTCGAAAATCAAGGTCAAACTGATAACTGGGCTTTCTTCGCTTCTGGCAGTACAGCTTCAGCAAACAACGAAGAGGATGGATTTGCAGACTTTACTAATTTTGAAGCATTTTCGCAACCATTTTCCGAGTTGAAACATACTTGGGAAACTAATCAACAAAACACGGACCTCAATATAAAAGCTGTTAATGAAACCAAATCTGGCCTGGAGGAGGGGGACGAGGATGCTGCTGCCAGTAATGGCATTGAGGAAGAAGATGATTTTGACGACTTCGCTGATTTTTCGACCCCAGCTTCTATGAGCTCAAACACAACAATGGCTGCGACTGAACCCAATAATAGTGGGACTTTTCAGCAGTACAATGGGATTTCCGATATTGATGAAAAGCAATCGATATCACCTAGTTTCAATTTGTCTGAAGAAACTGGACTGCAGAGTATAGAAGATATGCTGAATGAAGTTGACACGAAGTGCGAGGATTTGGCCGAACATGACCCCGTTGTGACTGAAGATCCCCTCCTTCTACAAGACCTGATCGTTTCTATGCCAATTGCCTCAGATGTCTCCAAAGAACTCAAGTGAGTAGCTTGCTAACCTACCTTGCGACAGTCTTCCGAGGTCTTCCAAGGTAGCGACAGTCTACCTTGCGACAGTTCTTCCAAGGTCTATCTGTTTGTTTGTTTAATTGTCTGTATGAGTATTTATTTATCTTGTTTTTTTTTGTATATGTTTCTTTCCTTCATTCCTTTTTTATTGTTTTATTACTGAAGCGTTTTGTGTTTTCATCCATTTCCCCGAATACATTTCACTCATGTCAATGCATAGTTGTTATACAAAGTGTAAATCGCATTTATAGCTCTTTACTTTTTATCCAGCATGTGTTTGTTATCAGGCTGCCGTAAGTAAAGTGGTGGAAGGGAGTTCCTTTTTCATACAGCGAGGGGTTTGGGAGCGAGTCCCATCGTCTTCATTTTATCATTTTAAAGCTCATTTTCTTCCAAGGTATATGTTTGTTTTTTCTTGAAATTGCAAGGGATCTTTTCCCCGCTTTTCTTGCTATTGTATGCTAAGTGCACCTGCGTCTCGTTTTTAAAACAGTTTAGCTTCTAATTGGCGATTTCAGTGTGATGTGTGAGAGTAGTGTACTCAAAGCTGCATTGGACTAGTTGTAAAGGTAACTGAGAAATCACTGGAAGGTTTGGGTTCAAATCCCTTTGTCTCCAAGCATGTTGGAATTGTTTGCTGAACTTTTGGTAGAGATCCTTGCATTTTATTCGAGTCCAGGAAAATAACAAAGAAAGAATTTGTTTCGCCAGTATGTATTTACATCAGACAATAACACAAAAAGTTTGATTTTATTTAATAGAAGCAAAACAAATTTAGGATCTACTAAACAATCTCCCCTCCCCCCCCCCTATTCTACCTACTAAAGAATCTCCCCCTTTCTTGAAAGGGGGGAAATTGTTAAGTAGATCCCAAATTTAAATTCATGAAAGAAGAATCATGGAGAGAAAAGGCGGAAAATTATATATTAACAATGGTAGCAGGTTGCTGTGCGATTAGCTCAGAATGTTCCGAAAGTAACTCGATTGCTCTTTTCGTTAGAATCACGTCTGAAATTGTAATATTGTAAGAATCACGTCTGAAAAGACTTTAATTTGATATATCACTCGACCCCCGGGCTCACAAAAATTTCAAGTCACGCAATTCTCATTTATGAAAAAAGCGCTTGTCATACAATTCCATTGAACAGAAAATAGTATCAAAATAGCATGATTAGCATTTTCCATTACTGGAAAAAATACCTAGCATTTTTCCATTAATGCAATTGTATGACTAGCGTTTTTTCGATTGATTTTTGGAGTGTTTCGTTTTTACACTTGCGAAGTTAGTGTATTAGTGCGAACGGTCTTTTTCCAACTAAGTCGCAAATATTGGTGTTACCCTTACAGCTTTTTGATAGCACGTGCTTTGACATTCGAATACTAAAAAATTAACACAGTTGATGCATTTTTAATGAACCGAAAAAAAAGCTATTTATTTCAAACAAGCTCACTATGATAAAAACTCGATTTCAGAATTTTTCGAACTATATCTTGCAGTTTTTTGCAATGCATAATTTATACATAATGTGGCTTTATGCTTTGCAATTTGTTTTAGCAAAGTTAGTGTGGATGCCTTCAGTTTGTTATATTCCAAATTATTACTTGCAGAATTGAGTCTATTTGTATTTGGTCCCACTTTCGCTAAATTGCATTGGCAATTTTTTAGCTTATATAGCTGCTTTATTCGTGACTAGTGTTTGTCGGTTTTTAAGCTTGCGTGTCTGAGAGGATAGTGCACGAGACTCAAAATCTCTTGATTGCAGTTGGTCGCAGATTCGAATCCTACACGTAGCCGAGTTTTTGCTAATTCGAGGCTTATTTCTACTTTTATTTTTGCAGTTGATAGAGCTGCTTTTTGGTCGTGCTTTCGCAAGTGTTTGCGAAGTGCAGCTTCGCCTCTGATTACATATTTGCATTTTGCACTGAAACACAAAAACCATGGTGTTCTCGGACGAGGCGAGCTATAGGTCAACCGACAACAGAATTGCAAGTTAAACAATATTTTGTGATATACCAAGTTAATTAAGAGTAATGAGCGTTTATTATGTTGAATTTCACACAGAGTTAAAATAAAAATTTGTACTTTTTGTATATGGCTATGAGGTTTTTATTTCAAAAAATTAGCAAGCTTGAAAACTTTTTTTGGGAAAGGTTGATATGTTCATAAAACTAAAACTAGAACTAAAAATAGTTCCCTTAACTTTGGAACTTTCGAATTGAAAAATGCTTATTATACAAGTTCTCAAAAAATGGTATCCTCTTCATCAAAAAACCGCATGAAGTTTTTCAAAAATTACTTAAAAATAAATTTGCTAGATTTTGCAGTTTTCTTATTCGATTTGCAAGAAATTGATACCAATGGAAATACCGCTCATTCCTCTGAGTGCCTGCATAAATGTATATTCTCCTTTTACCGTATCCTACTTTTAACAGCCTTCGAAAAAGTTGGGAGATTTTGACCCAAATTTTTGGAATTTTTTGTTTTAAAAATTTGAGTTCAATGGATAGAACAGGTTGTTGAAAGCTTTCCTGCTCAAGCTGTTGCGTCCTATTTTTTCCACACAAGTTAATACCCCTCGAAATAGTCAAAATTTTGATATTTTGACCGTTTGTTCCAACTTTTGACTTTTCTCCAAAACATCTTTTGAAAAGTTGTTTTTTTTCCATTGCATTCTGGTTGTCATTTATCTGCAAACAAGTTACAATTGAAAAATAAACAAAAAAAGGTACAATAATCTTTTTTGCGAGGAAATTTCGTTCAAAGGTTAAGCTTAACACAATAACAATAACAGCCTTAAATCACTAATTTGAACAGAAAACTTAAAGAAAGAATTTTTCTGAGTTTGTTTTGAATCTTAACCAGGAGACTCAAAACTTCAGCGAAGATTCCCAACCCTATTGTACACGTTCGTCACCGCCGAAATAAGGGTGAGTAATAAATTGAAAAAAACTAATTGTCGAATATAAAATGGACTTAATTTCCTGAAATAAAATTAGTTCTCAGTTAGTGCACAAAAACGAGAAATTAGTGGTTTCTTAATTTCACTAGATTTTCCGGCAGTCTGTAAAAGGTATATTATGATGTATAAGGTTTTTTTAGAAATATGTGTTTTAACGTTAAAATTAGTAATAATTTTTGTTCTGCTGTATCTATTGCTGCGGTTTATTTTTTGTATTATTAGTCGTCCGATAAAAATTTTTATCCATAATTGTAAGTGAAGTATATTTGGTACAAAAAGTTCGAGGTGTAGAAAACAAACTTCTCATAAATTTTATTGGAAACTGGATATTTTTATGAGTCTTTGTTACAATTTGGTCCTCGTTAAAATAGATTCGCCCAGTTTTCATCAGAATATTGCCTTTTTTGTTTTGCTCAAGTTCACTTGTTACTTTTCAACTGGGTGTGTGCGCGCAGGTGTTAGAATTGTCAAAGGTTTTGACGCAAGCGGTGATCCATATTGATGAAGAGTGGGCTAATATGACTAATGATGAACTTGGGCTAATTTGGTCTTCGTGATGCTTAAATTGACAGTTTTGCCTAATATAACAAATTTTCGACTTTTTGAACGACTTGCGGCGTGTACTGGAGGGAAAGAGCTAAAACATCAAAAGACTCAGCTAAAATTTTGTTGATGTTTTTCTGATAGAGATTTATTTAAAGATTTTCAAAGTCACATTCAAAGCAGAGCTCAAGTTACGCTCTGCAAAAACAAAAATGGAAATAGCGTCATTAAGACGTTTAGTCTCAAAAGTATATTCTAAATCAAGAGCTAATTTTCCTTAATTGTTTTTCAAGAAAAAGTCCAAATTTGTTTGTACCAAATTTGATCAATTCTTTTCAAGTTCAAATTAGTAATGACGCTAAAAAAAAGGTGAAAGACTTCTAGTTTTTAATGTGGATTTTAGTTTTTGGATTCCCCAGCGTAATAAAAAATTTACTATCGATCCAGTTTTCTCAGGTGTGTTTACTTTCATGAAAAAACTCAACCGAAAGTTGTGTTTATCATGAAAAATCAAACATGAGCTGTTAGGTGATGTAATTAGATCTTTGAAAACCGAAAAATACAATTTTTTAATCAGTTTCTTTGTTTTTAATTTTATACACTTATGCGGAGCGTGTAGATAACTTTTTTTGGTGTGTGTTAAGGAAGAAGTTTGGAGCTGCAGCTGAGTTATGATGCAATTGGCTGCCATAAACTGTACTTTGTTGTTCGAGAAGCGATGTAAGTACTATGTATTTTGTTTAGTGATGTGATAGAGGGCATATGGAGCATAGTGTGCGACCTCTGCAATAGTCCTTCCCTCCTTCTCCTAGACCCCTCATCCCCCTCCCACTCTCAGTGCAGTCTCAATGAACAACTGCTGTATAGCCTCGGAGTTGACCTCAACAACACTGTGAGTACACGATTGTACAACGTTCTCTTCATCTGAGCAACTTTTGTTTTCAATAAGTTTATCAAAATAAAGTACATTTGTCTATTAAAGTCAATCTTTTGTTTTTAGTTGTCTTCTGTGAAACAGAACCTGCCAAAGTACGCAGCACAGTTGGTAAGTTGATTCAACTTCGAGCTCTTTTTTTTTTTTACTAATCTCCAATATTAGGCAAGGAAATTCCACTTGATTTTTCTTGTTATTCACAAGCTAACACTTGATTGAAAATGTATTTGAGTTGAAAATCTGGAGCATTTTGTCAGCTAGCAAGACATTTTGCAGGGATTGTTTTGACTGAAAATTTCTACGAGGTTTTGAGTGTTTTTTTTTTTCAAATGATTGTCAGGGTCCGTCTTGTTTTTTTAGGGGCTTCTGCAGCCTATGAAGAGTGGGGACTCAAAAGGAGATGAAAGTGGTGGTGTTAGTGCATACCAGCTGCGTGGCAACAACAACAACGCCAACTCTGCTCACAGAAACCAACAGGCCATGTCATGCACATCGCCCACGGTTAGTTGAACCGTTGCCCAGGATGGAGTGAGGGGCAATTTTCAACGAACGTTTATGTTCTCGGTAAAGCTATCAACGAACGTTCATTTTCTCGATAAAACCGTCTGAGCTATCATTTAAAAATAAAACGATTTTTCGTTCAAATTATCTTGCACAATAGCTAGTTTTTGATAAAATTATTTTTTGGTCGCCTCTGGTCACCTCAATCTATTTCAAATTTAAACCTACTTTTTTGTCTAGCGCGAGTGTTTGTTTAAAAAATGATAAATTGTTTTCTTCGCAATGAAATTTATTATAATACAAACATAATGTGAAAATATAAAAAATAAACTCCTGGTATAAAAAGTAAGTTTATGATACGAAAATATAATTTATTTTCTTAGAACTAAGTCAAGCTACATAAATTAATGTTTTTTATTGCCTAGGGCCTTGAATAAGGCGAGTTTTAACACGATGACATATTTTTTCCGCTTCTCTCGGAGAAGTTATAGCTTATTCTGCTAGCTTTATTCCCGTTGGTAAGAATAACGAGGTATGCTCGGAACATCCGGAAAGAGGGAATTGGTCCCATGTTGACAAGCATTTTTTTTCGCTTGTGCTCCGAGACCCATCGATGGGTATTCGCACTATGATTTCCGAAGAGGGTTTAATGCCGAAGTTGTCCCCGATGGAGTAGAGTTCAAAACATTTGACCTCTATATCTTGACACTCTTCGGCGATTTCCGACTTGCACTCCAAATTTGTTCGTTCTTTGGCGTGTTGGCTCTCGCTTTCAAACAGAGCCAACAGAATGAGCTCAGCTTTGATGAAGTTTTCTAAAACAGAGAATTGTAGTAATATATGAAATCCTTTATGATGGAAGGAACGAATGATGAAAGCCAATCAGAATTGAGTATTCAAAATTGCAGAAATCTTACTGAGAAAAAAATCAAATTTGGAGCAGTCAATTTTATATTTGCCGAATAAAAAATCGGCAGACTATAATGCAATCGAGCACATTAGTGTTACGAGCTTGCTAGAACCGAGACACGAAATGTTTATGAATGCGACTGGAGGTTATCGTCGCGAAGCATTATTGTATGCATAGCGCGCCTCCCGCCAGGACACTGGAGAAAATTTTGTACATCTGTCAGTTGTCTACATTAAGATTTCAGCGAACTTGTATCGGTTTTCTACGATTCTGATTGGTTTAAAGTTTTCTATCATTAGTTGCCTCTTTCATGAGAATAGCAACAGTTATTTAGATCTCAGGTGAGCGAAAATTGTAGCGGAAAACTTAAACCGCCGATTTAAAGTTAATATTTAGGATTTTATTTTTCCGATTTTGGACGTGTCATTTGAGAAATTATACTTTGGGCTGTTTTATTTGTTCAATTTTGATAGTTGTTTAAATACAAATTTTTCTGTCAATCTAATTTTCTGGTTTCTATGAGTCTCGACCTTGAATCTGATCTTACTTGCAGAATATTCTTCCCAAATGAGTGAGGTTAGGTTTTCAAGTGATGAACTGCACTTCGCATTAATCGCGAGTTTCACCGGGTGGCTTTTAATTAGATAAAAAGTTAGGCTAAGTAAAACAAGCGTGGTTGAGAGACTGGAAAAAGTCATTATTTGAAGTTAACTTTAAAAAGAATTCTTGATTTTTTTTCTCGTTCTGAATTCGCGTTTTTCTACTATTTTATTACCAGTTTTTGAAACCCAACTGAAGAATAGTATATTGCAATTTATGTTGCACATTTCGTTGAAACATTGGATAAAATGATGAAAGTATTGCAACTTACCTCTTTGACGAAAAACTGTAGAAAGTATTACAACTAAACCATTTTGATGTTTTTGAAAAAATTAAAAATACAAATTGACATAATAGTTCGCAAGTGCTGTTTTGACTGATTTTTTCGCACATAGGTGTTTCATAATTATCAGAAGTTTCTGTCAATCTTCAATCAATTAGCCACATGAATCAAAATCATCAGTCAATCATAAGTTGAGCCAGCCGGTCATGCGATGTGGCTAATTTAAGACATGCATTTGTGAAAGCAAAAAACAAACGCGCTCCTCATGAAAGGAAAAACCAGTATAGTTTCCTTGATTAAAAGTCAATGAACGTAATAAAGATTCGTATGCAGTGCTGATTTAAATTTTCCGTGCTAGACGAACTAAACTGAAAATTTCAAATGTGTCTTTCTCAAATTGGGTTAAGATAAGACAAAAAATGAAGGGAACAAAAAATGCTGAGATTTTCACCAGAATTAATTTGTCTTTTGGCTTTTTTAAATTAATCAAGAAATACGCTGAAACTACCAAGTTAATTGACAAGAAAGTTATATTAAAACGAGCCTCTTAAACAGTTCATCAAAATTCTAGAAACATAAAACTTCCAAAAACCTGTATGAGAGATTATAGTTTTGCTTGGGAAAAAAGGTCATATAAACATCGAAATCTTTGCTTAAAAACAAACTTCAAACGTTTTACGCAAGTTTTTGGAAGCTTTACCCTTCTAGAATTTAGTTGGGCTGTGTAAGAGGCTGTTTTGATAAACTTATGCATTAAATAACTTGGTAGCTTCAGCGTAATTCGTAATTAATTTCAAAAAAGCCACAATGACACATTCTTGGGTAACATTTTGATTGAGAATTTCGAAAAAATAATAATTGTGCCCTTTGATTCTGGTGAAATTCGACGCAAATTTTGTTCACTTCATCTTTGTCTAATCTCAGCACAATTTGAGAATAATGCGTATGAATTTTTGTTCGTTGTGTCCGGTCTATTTCTATCAACACTATAGGCTGTGATGATTGTTTGTTTTGTTTTTGATTTCTCGAGGTTTGACGTTTGATGTCCTTTTGAGTTCAGTTTATTTTTGTTAAAAAAGAAAATTCTACTGTCGTTAATTAGTATGAACTTTTTTTTTCAACCCAAGTCGCAAATATTAGTGTTCATTATGAAGGTGTTCATTTTGATCAAACCAGCTATTAAGTACAACCAATGTTAAGGATATTAACACAAACTGTTATAAGAAATAGAACTTTAGCTTCAAGGTATCATGGATCTGTAGCGTAGTGGTAGAGAAGGTGACCCGCAACAAAATAAGAGGGTTGGAACCTAGGCAGGATCGGATGTTTTTAATTAACTTTTTCTTATACTAGTTAATATGCGTCCGCTCTATAAATTAAGCCATGTTAGGTGGTAAATTTCTTTTTTTTCAAATAGACTGGTACTGCTAATGCGTCATAGTTGGCTTGCGTCATTCAGTTTTTCCCAGTAGCACTATCGGTCATATTTTTGCTTGTGTATGCCTCTGCGTTATAATTTTCAGATTTCGAAATGAATACATTTTTTTTCATCTATTCATCCATTTTTCTCAAATTGGGTTAATTTTATCGAAAAGGTGTCAATCATAAATGGTTCTTATGATTTTTTAAGTTCAGTTCATTTCTGTTCTTGAAAAAGGCAAACCGAACTATTGAACAGCAAAAGTGTTAAGTTCACAAAAATGTGATCGGCTTCCACATTTTCGCAAATGGATTTTAGTTTTCAGATTTTCAAGCGGAATAAAAAATTTACCTTATAATCCAGTTTTCTGAAAAAGTATCAATTATAAATTTTGATTGAAATTCAGAAGCTTTAGGGTCATTTTTTTCTTTGAATTTTTAACCTTGAGATTTTTTCAAAGAACAAGTCAGTGTTAGATACATTTACCGCTGCACCTTCGATCATCCAGTAATGTTTTTGTTGAGTTTTGTCTCAATTGATTCTTTAAATACCATGGGCCAATATATACCATTATGCTCTGTCATTCTACCCTTTTCTTAAAGCAAATCAAAGTTAACCCACCTCAGAAGCTATAAAATTTGGTCAAAAAATAATTGCTGTGTGTGGATTAAGTATCACAGCCAGGTGAATTTTGCTTGTTCAAAATGGAAATGTGTTCAAAGTATCAAAAAGCAAAACCTGATCGACTTCTATTTTCGATTATGGATTTCAGATTTCTCAGCGGAATAAAAACTTTACCTAGTGATCCAGTTTTCTCAAGTTGGGTCATGTTATCAAAAAAGCGCCAAGCATAAATTGTTCTAGAAATTTTAAGAGCTTAAAGGGCATCTATTTTTTGTCTTTGAAATTCGAAAGTTGAGATTTTTTTCAAGTAAGTCAGTGTTTTTTTTATGTTTACTTGCATTCATTACTCTTGTCCAATCTTCGATTGGCTATGTTTTCAAATTGATTGGTACTGCTAATTCGTCATAATTTGCTTGCGTCACTTAACAGTTATATAGATTCATAATTGGCGTGCGTCACTCCATGTTTTACTCATTCAGTTTTTCCCAGTTGCGTTATCGGTCATATTTTTGCTTGTGTATGCGAAGTGCAACTTCGCCTCTGTGTAACGTTTGTTAAGACTGTTTTTGAGCGTCATCTGAGACCAACGTACGAAATATTGGTAGATATGTTTTTTCGACTTTTTAAAAGTACGTTTTTCAGCTTACCTTGTTGAAAAAAAAAACGATTTACTCCTTTTTTTCTGTTCAATATTTGCATGTATGTTCAATGCACAATGTTTTAATCATATCGCACAAGTGTTGCGAACTTCGCTTTCCCTCATTGTTAGGTACTTATCCGTCGCAAAGGTTTTCTCTGTCACACTTATGCCCTTCGCCTTATCTTTCCTAGGAGCTTTTAATTTATTGATTCTGAATTGGTTTCAGCCGGATGCGGTGCCAGATGTTGAGTTTGACTGGGGGACAAGTGGACTAAAGAACCCACTTGAAAGTGAGAGAACCCTAACATTTTAATCAGAACTCTCAAATAAATAGATAAAACAAATTATAATCACGATTCAAGTTGGAATTTTCCTATCGTCAAAAGCGGTCTTCATGTTCACAGAGAAAAAAGCGGGTGGGTGAAAATTAGTTAACGATTCAGTCGAATTATCAACAAAAAATTTCTGTGATTACCTCAGCAACTATTGTGATATCATATGAAATGTTCAAAGCCGACATGTGTAAATCAACTTGCAGCCGTTTAATCTGTGGGTAGTCAAAGCTCTTGTAAATTGCAGTAAACGAATCCGCACTTAATAATTGTAGTCACTATTTCATTTGCACATATAGTCTCGAATTTGATGACCATCAGCGTATCAATATCAAAGAACAACCAAATGGAAACATAACATTTTGACCACATATCACTCTTCTTTTGGACCAATAACTTCTGAAATGCAGATTAGTGCTGGTTACTGCTGGTAGCTGTTTTCATTATTTAGCAATCTAATCAGGACTTGGCCTCCGTAGACAATGTATTAATGCGTAAGTGTGTTTCAGTGCAATCTCTCAGCCTGGACTTTTTCGACTCCCAATTCAACTCGTGTTCAGCCGCTTCTGCTTCTGCCACTTCACGTTAGTAACTCTGCGATGCTATTAAACCCAATACGATTCCTTTTTGAATTACTCTTTTTTGGGCAAATAAAAGTAATGAAGAAAGGTCAGACCGTTGCAATCACAGCGGGCTTAGAAGAAGTTTATTATTTATCGACTTAGCTCGAAGTTTTTAGTTGGACGATTTATTATTTGCTTAACTTAATAAATAAGCTAACTGATCGGATTTGTTTCGTTTCTGTATCAGTTTCAAGATTTTTTGACCTATGCAAATTTAGCTTCGACCATTGAAAATAAAGAGGAACATATATCTTCGGTGTTTTCGTTTTTCTTTATTTAATTTTTTATAGTTTTCTCTAAGTTTTCACGGAAATTTAGGTACCACAAATAATCAGCGGAATACGTCGAGTTTTCAGTCGTGATTCAAACGAAATCTGAAACTTCCTGAAAGTTTTCCGATTGTCGAGAAAATATCGGCTTGCAATTTTTTATTTACATCAAGAAAACTAGTTTTGGAAGCTTCATTTAGTGCTTTCTTGGCAATAAAAATGAAAAACTTAATTTTACTTCAAGAAAACTAGTTTTGAAGCTTAAATTAGCGTTTCGTTGGCAATTAAAGTGAAACTTTTAATTTTGGAAAACTAGTTTGGAAGCTTCAATTGGCGCTTTTTTGGCAAGAGAAACGTTTTTACGCTCAGAATATAGGTTACTTTTTCGGGTTAACAACTTGTTTAACAGAATCACTTGGTATCTTGGTTCACAATGAATTCAAATTTCTAAGCGTCTCCGGCACCGTTAGTCTGGAGGTAAGAAATACGCCTGGGAAGGCTAAGGTCCTCGGTTTGAATCTGACCGGGACCTATTTTTCAAACTGGAAATTTTCTGTTTCAAACAAATGTCTGCTTATTATTTGTCTGAAATCATTCATAAAAAGTCCAAGAAAATTTAGGAACGCGTTCAACTTGCGTTTTGAAAACTGTGTGCCAAAATCTGAATAGTTCCTTTCAAATTGTTAGCTCTGAGATATTGTTCGACATGTAAATCTAAAAATGGTTTCTATATATGACCTGAATTGTGTTCATCAAACCAAGGGAAGTTTTATTAATTTGCTCCAAATACTTCCTGTGTATCGGAAGCGTATTGAAGTTCGAGCTCAATAATATTTGAAGTACGAGTGTTTACACAAGCAATGCTTGTGTTATAGTATGAATTATCTTTTTTTCCAGCCTAAGTTGCAAATATTGTTGCGACGCAAATATCGTTGCGATAAAATGTGTTAATTTTGGAGGTGTTCATTTTGATCAATAACCAGTTATTAAGTACAGCCACTGCTAAGGATATTAACACAGACTATTTTTGTTCCGACTTTTGTCACGAAAGTAGCGGGATATTTGTGCTCGGGGTGGTTTTTTCTTCAGACAAATTTCGACTTTTTAACAAGATTTTTTTGTATCATTCAAAAAGTATTGTTATCTTGAGCTTAAAATTGGAAAAATATTTCACCTGTGATCATTTTTCGTAAAGTTATGGGGGTTTAAAGATTGGCATTTTCGCCAATTTGGGATGATTAATTCAAAAACGGAATTTATTTTTCAGCTTAGAGAAATAAAAAATTTACCCATTGATTGAGATTTTAAGAGTCGATTAACGTAGTTCAGACGCTCATATTGGTCGTGATTTTTTTCTTTTTTGTGTTTTTTTTAGGAAAAAATTTCAAGTTTCGTGGACAAATTTATTTTTCGTGGTCTGACTTTTATTTCTTTTCAAGGTCAGTTTATTTCTTTTGTTAAAGGAAGGCAAACTCTACTATCTAACAGCGAAAGTTAAAAAATCTCGAAAAACGTGATCGACTTCTAATTTCGAACATGGACTTTTCCGATTTCTCAGCGAAATAAAACATTTACCTATTGATCCTGATTTCGCAGATTGGGTTCAGTTTATCAAAAAGTGTCAATCATAATTTGTTCTAGTAGAGCTTTATAAACTTTTAAAAGAGCTTAAATGCCATCCTATTTTTTCATCGAAATTTGAAAGTTGAGTTTTTTTAAAAAAAAATAGTGAGTACTCTTTCAGACAGTTCAGTGGCTTGTATAATTGTGATGATTTTTTCTGGAAAAATCTTTGAAATATCTTCCGGTTCAATTTTTTTTTCAGTATTTTTTTCTGTTGACTTAATTTCATTTTTCAATAGCAAACAATCTTTTTCAACTGTCTGTTGGCTATGTTTTATGTTTTCTACCGTTTATTGACCTTATTAGCTTTCTGTTGGCTATATTCAATTGGTTAGTGAAAACTTTGTTTGTAAAATGTTTTTGGCAAACAAATTGGAAACATTTTTAGATATTAGAGAAGATTTGTCGGATGTTTCTTTTCCTTAATGTTTTTTGGTTATTCATTTTTGAAGACAGCTGTTGTGTGTTTTGTAGCAATTATGTTTTTGAAAGGAATTTGTATATTTGAAAGCAGATTATTCAGAATGTCTTTGAAAGATTTGAAATAAGAACCGGAGTGAGTTTTACTTATTAGTTCGGTCTGGAAAACTTTTAAATACGTTTCACGCTCGGTCTGGTGCAAAAAACTTTGATTGGTTTTGAGTTTCATTTTTGAATTAAATTCAGTTGTTCGAGTTCCATTTCCATGAATGCTTTTCCAGGTCTGCTTGCTTTTTCTTCCGATCACTGAAAGAGACTGGAGAAAATTTGTCCTCGTGTGTTTTTTTTGCGCATTTGAATAAAGTACTACAATTAATAATCGTAATAGTTTGAGAGAAATGTCGTATTAAAGCCCTTTCCATCATTTTTTGTATGACGTTGAAATTTGTGTCGAGAAAAAATGATTTGAAGTTTTTGAGTTTTAGTCTACCTACGAGGGAACGAGCGAGTAAAAGCGTGAGAGTAGCTTTTATAAAAAGAATTTTTTATTGAGTCGATTAACGTAGTTCAGACGCATACATATGTAGCGATGATTTTCTTTTTGGGTGTTATAGGAAAAATCTTGAAATTTGAAAATCTTCAAATTTACTTTTTCACTTGGATGTCTTTTTCAATTCAGCTCGTTACGAGTAATGAATGTAGTGAGTACTCTTTTAGAGGTATTGCTGATTTATTTTTTTTCAGGAAAAGTCTAAAATTTGTTCACGCTCAATTTTGATTTTTCGCGATTTGACTTGTGATTTCTTTTCAAGTTCAGTGCTTTTCCATTGTTAAAAGAAAGGCAAACTCTACTATCGAAAAGCAAAAGTGTAAAGATCACGAAAATCGTGATCGACTTCTTATTTCGAAAATGGAAATTAATTATCAGATTTCCCAGAGAAATAAAAGTTTTGCTTATTGATCCAGTTTTCTCAAACTAGGTTAGTTTTAACAAAAAAGTGTCCATCATAAATTGTTCTACAAATTCAAAGAGATTTAAGGCCATCTATTTTTTTCTTCGAAGTTCAATAGTTGAAGATTTTTGAAAAACAAGTCAGTTTTTATTTTCAGTTTACTTTCCTGTCCAATCTTCGTTTATTACTCCTTTCCAATCTTCGACTGGCTATGTTTTCGTTTTTTGAAAGGAAGGCGAGCTCGACTATTGAATAGCAAAAGTGTAATTTATCAAAAAAACGTCAATCATAAAATTTTCGAGAATTTCAACAAAGAACTGCAATGTAATCTACTGTTTTCTTTGGAATTCGAAATAAGAGATCAATCATAAATGTTTTAAAAAAAATTGAAGAGATCCAAGGGCATTTATTTTTTCTTTGAAACTAGAAATGAGATTTTTTCAAAAATTTAGTTAATAATTTTTCCCCTGTTTATTTAATTGTGTTCATTGACTCATTTCCAACTGTCAATTGGCTATGTTTTGTATTTGCTGTTGAGTCCAAAACAAAGAAAAAAGTGATTCGACTCAGTTTAAATTGATGCACTGGGTACTTTCACTACATCAATTTAATTTTTAAAACTCATCAATAGAGAATCATATTTGAAATGACGTTGAGAAGTTGAATCAAGAGTTTATCTAATCATTATTGTTTCATTCCTGTAACGCCCTTTATCTGCGAAGTGTTCGTTAGTAGCTAAAGGTAGAAGGATTAAAAAACGGCGTCACTGTCGCACTGTTGAATGCATTTATCAGCATTGTACAGTATTTTTAATAAACTTTTAGAGCTAGAGCAGGAACTGTTGAATGAGTTGGGTGACGAAGTGGGTGGAAGAGGAACTGGCATAAGTCGCGGAGGAGAGGACTCTCAGTCTCTGGGAGGCACCAGTGTGAGTGCCAGTGCAGTCAGCAGAGACCGAGACAGCAAATTGGCCAGCATACTGGCAGTGGCACAGAGCTCTTCACACGAAAATGTGGTAAGAAATCCTTCATAATGTCGCTCATTATTATGCTATCAGCATCATCTTCATTTAGATTGGGAAACATACGTGAAGTAAATGATGTACAAATTTTTAAACTGGTTGATTTTATTATTGTGCCTGCAATGTCTTACTTCAATTAATCTGATGAAGTTGTTAGAGCTCAATTTGAGTCCCTTCAGGAAACTTAAACATTGCAAGCATCTTTTTTTGAAAATATTGATCAAACTGTTAAAAGCATCTTTTTTGACAGAAATTATTAATGAATATTACTCATCTTTGTTATCAATTTAGATGGCAAAAAAGGTTAGTGAATTGATGGCCCTCGATAAATGGTTTTTCATCGGGGTCTGGGATTCAGGAGTTCTATCTGTGTATTCTGTTTGAACACTAATTTGTTCAATAAAGTAGATTTTTGAAGCAGAAACAGAAAAGGTTGAAATCATATCTGTTTGTGTGAGCTAGTTGGTTAGAGCACCACTTTCAGGTCATTGAGATCCTTCATGCATTAGAGCTGGACCCTAGCATTACTAGCTATCCAGTACTCTAATTCTGTGACTAATATCATGTGTTTAATTTTTCCTAAATTGGCTCAGTAGTGATTATTAAACTGAAACATGACTGCTTCCCTCATGTTCATGACACAAATGCATTTCGATGATAAATCGTTCTCATTTGGTACTTTTGGTTCTGTCCTTTTCTTCTAGAGTGTGGCGGTCGGAGGATCTAACGCTCACTCTACCAAAGCTTCCTTCTCAAATTACGCCCTCGAGGATTCATTTGGACCGTCACGCAGTAGCTGTAATTCATGGGGAGATCCCAAAATGCGAATCAACAACAACAGTGCTTTCTTTGATGCAACAAGAGACGAAAACTCAAACCAACTTTTCTCTCGAAATTCGCTCATGTCTAATCAAAGTCGCCCAAAGAGTTATGTGGGCTCTAAGTCAACAAACTCTAATGGGATGCCAAACAAACACGGTGCTAATAGTCAAACGAACAGTGTCAGTTGGAGTGCTTGGATATTCCGCAGGAAGTAGAAGAGAATAGAAGACGAAGTTACGTCTCCATCATTCACACTAGTCTTGGGAAGACTGATTTTTCTTATTTCCTTATCAGAAAGGGTAGTTTCTTCAGTTCTACTTAAAAGTTTACCTACGATTTGACTCGATGTTATCAATGTCATTGTAACTTATGGGTCTTCTTTGGGTCCCTGAACATTATTTATTGCTTGATTTATTAATTTATTATTTCAGCAAATTGCACTGAAAAATAGCTTCCAGTATAAATCATTCTGTCTGTCCTGTATATAAATCCTACTTGCGATTCGCCAAATGTAGAGCTTTAATTTATTGAATTATTTTTTAATTTCGAAATTATTAACTTCTTATTCTCTATAATCAGTCTTCAAAATCTTGTGAGTTGAATGTTTTGGGTTCTTTCTAATTAGTTAACTAGCTCAACGCATGAAGGGTCTCAATAATTCACGTAATATTTTTTGTAGGTAGCCTTAGAAGCTTCTCAATTGCCAGAAACAATTCATACGTTGCTTTTCAGGCCAATCAAGACTTGAGTCCGGCTGCTCACCAGGTGATGCGGAAGCTTCCTAAATTACAGTTTATGCTCTCACGAGTCCTAATGTTTCCCTTCTTGAGTGACAAAAGTGAGTCAACTGCTGCAAATTCTCCTACGACACCTCGCAACGGAAGTCTCAAATCGTTCCATCGCAGTAACGGCAGCGACAGCAATATATCGCCAACCAGTTCATACCATGCAGCGCCTCAAGAGGAGAATGTTAACTTAGAACAAATGGAACCTGAAGAGACCATGAGTGACCATGAAAGTAACGAGGGAGCTCAACAAGAACAGGACGCTTATTTGAAACAGTTTGTTGATAATCAAGATGAAAATGTACACACTATAGATATAAGCGAAGTTGATGATAATTATGATGATGATGATTTTGGTGACGATGTCCAATGTTTAGAAACCCCTATAGAATCCGATTTTACTGATGTTATTGCAATTAATTCCGACTTTAATTAAATTCATTTTATAGGTACCCTCCTAATAGATTGTTATGACAACGGTTTTAACATTAGAAAAGAAACATTTTTTGTTTTGACAGGCTGAAAGACATTGTTTTTATAGCATCTTTACCCTGTGATTCAAGTTAGAATCAGCGACAGTGATTACCCGAAAAACTTTTGTCGTGCCTATTGATCCAGTTTTCTGAAAATGTGATACTTATCAGAAAACTGTCAATTATAGTTGGTTCTTTTTTAAGATTGAATTTTTAAGATCGATAGTTCGAATTTTAAGACCATATATCTTTTTTGATGCTCGAAAGTTGCAATTCAATCAAAACAAAAAACACGAGAGTATCTTTTCTTTACTTGCATTCATGACTGTCTTTCAAGTTCCATTCTTCAAGAGATGTTTAAGTTAAAGTCTGATTGTTGAAACCAATTATTACATCTTAAAAGTTTTTCCCAGTATTTGCCTAATTGAGATCTGTATTGGTTTTTCATTTGAGAGTGGTTGCAATCTATACTTGGACATGTGAGATGCTTGTCTTAATGTGGGATTCCGATTATCGAGGTAAATTATCCGAATAGTTTTTGTGAACTCAGGGCAGCCTAAGCCTAAATTGGAGTTTGTATCAGATGGCGAATAAAAAACTGTCTGAGAAATGTAAATAGCCTGTTACACTCTGTTTTTTAATAATTAAGTTCACTTAACCAAGTTTTGGTGTACAATGCCAATGGATTAAATCCACGCAAAGCTTAAGTATCGAGCGAAGCATAGTTTTCCGCTGAGAGTAATTAAAAACTTGCTATCCAATGTTACAGCATGGGCATTTTCTTGACGACTTCATTTTGAAACCTTGACTGGTAGAGGGTAATAGCTAGGGATTGGTGTAAAGTTTGCACCTTGCAGATCTGATAGTTTTTTTTTAATTTTGAGTAATTATTGCTTTCAGGTACGTAAGATCGATTTTAACTCATTCGAGGCAGGCGTCATTTTTTTCCGTTATCTAACAACTACAATGTTAAAGTCTAAGTTTTAATGACTGATACTTGCACACAAAAAAGTTTTGGTGGTTGCACCCAATCATAAACACTTAGTGGAAACTTGCAAATGAACATGGTTATTTAAATATTAAAAAAATTCGCAGTAATTATATTATACGGTAGTATACGGTAATTTATTATAAAATCAGTTTGTAAAAAAAAATTGTTGAAAAAGTTCATTTATAGCGAAAAATTTCATAAAAACTCTTAGCATTGTCCTCCCATAATAACAAAATATAAACCGACATCAGATTTTTCCACTATTCCTTGATTTTGCACAAATACCTTAATTTTGACCAATTAGATAATATGAGGCAGTAAAAAAGTGCCTAAGTGCAACACTGCAGAATTGTTTTTTGTTCAAAAATACGGAAAGTTTTTTATCAACAGTGTTAAAAACTAGGCAACACTCAGCCTTTTTGAACGAAAAACATTTTAAGGCTTTTTTGAACTATTATAATATTTTTTGGCACTATTGACTGAGATATTATACTAAGAATAATATTAAGAATTATACTTCGACACTAAGAACCCGTCAAAAACATTTTCCCAAAAAATTGGCAAAAACTGAGATTTTCTTACATAAACCTTATCTTTTTGCTTGTTTCAACATGATACACAAACCAAAACATTCCCTCTTGATACATTTCAAACTCATTTTCTTTAATTGATAATGATGCTTTTCATTTTATTGCATGAAAAATTTCTATCGTAAAAGTTGGAATCTCGAACTAATATCAAAATTAGGAAAATTGGGCTACGAAAACTTAAAATTTGAAACTGATAATAAAGTGTATCTTAATGCAAAAAAATCTAGTACCTATTTTTTGCTCATGAAAAAACGGATTCCTTATCTTAATACCTGAAAATTTTGCCTTCCCCCATATATGAGAAAACGTATTTTAGTACCAAGCGTACAAACGAAATTATTTTCCCTATCTGCAAACATTGTGCTTCCGATTTCGCTGTGAGGCGGCGTATAATGCTGTGTTGTTTAAGAATCGGTTGGAGACTGCATAATGCATTGGAAAAAATATCACAAGCTTAAATTGTAAGCAAAAAAAAAATAACTAACGTCTACACAAATAGAAACAGTCTAGATTTCAGACGAAACAGCATATGGTAATCGTGAACTATGTATACATTTTTAAATAATAAAGTGTTAGAGCATGCTTAAGGCGGCAGTAGTTATTTTGTGTGTTTTCGTTTGTGCTTGTAATCTTACAAAAAGTGTATATGCAACTCAAACCATAAATTGCTATCGAAACGACGTGCATTTTGATGGGTAATTACTTCTAAAAACACTTTTAAAATTAATCAATCAACTAACAGCCAGTTACAACTTGCAAATATCATTCAAAAATATGGCGGCAATGATGGAACCCAATTCCCGAGAGAGAAGCGAGTCACTTATTTGTGTCATTTGCACGGATAATTTGGATGATCCGCACGCATTACCATGTGGACATTCTTATTGTGGACCTTCAAAAAACTGTTTGAGAATTCTACAGCAAAGAATGGGAACTCGCAGAGTTCTAAAGTGTGCCATCTGTAGCACGGATCATTGCCTACAAATTCAAGATCTGAAACCCTTGTATGGGATACGGGAGCATTTAGAAGAAACTTCATCGCAGATCAATAAATATCGACAGGAAATAGAAGAGCTGAAACAAAAAATGGAAAATATGCAGCAGAATAGTTCATTTGAACCACCAGTTTGCTCGCATAGCTTATGCCAAAACTATGTTTCTTTCTGGTGCAGACAGTGTGAAGTTGAAATTTGTGACGATTGTTTGGAAACAGATCATGATATGCACTCAATATTAGTGTTCAAGAAGCACTTGAGGAATGAAGTCCAAAAGAAGCTATCAAGACTTCAATTAAAGAAAAATGGCGAATTAGAAGGTAAATCTTGTGTTTGCTAGTTTTTGAGTTAGTATCTTCCCTTGCTTAAAAAATTAGGCAAGATAATTTTTGAGTCTAAGGCTTGCATTTTTTCACATTGTCTTCTATTCTTTTGTTAAAATCATGAAAAAAAGTTAGCTTAATCTTAGTATGGGAGCTCATACGTGCCGAAGTGCGAGAAAGCTGGAAACTAAAATTTTTCAGATTGCAAGAATTGAACCGTTTCTACCGAATCCGGTATTTTAGTTTTGCTTTAAGCACAAAAGTTTAAAAAAATTTGACCTCTGGTAAAACGCAGACCAATTTACTAACATGGCACATAACTATTTGACAGATGTACAAAGACTTTTAACCTGGGATTATGCTTCCCTAATTAAGACAATTATCTCACAGCTTTGTCGAAAAAACTCTCTATTGTCCAACTTCTATCAAAAATCAAAAACAAAACAAGCAAAATTTGCGGCAAACACTGATACACGCGCAATGGAGATACTTGCCAATACTAGAAACGATTGTGTTATTGTCCCGACCGTTTGAAACGTAGGGAGGAACTTTGTGTTCAAGTGTGGTTTAGTGTTTTTTTTTGCTTTGCTCGCAAAATCAGCAACTACATTCAACCATCGTAGAGAGTTGAGTGATATGTCATATTAAAGCCTTTTCAATCGTGAATCGAACGACGTTACAAAATTTCGAAAAAAATTTCCAACTGTCGAGAAAAATCGGCTTGAAGTTTTGATTTTTTGTTTTAACTCTAGCGAATAAAGCGAGCAAGCAGGCTTGCAATAGCTTATTTTAATGACTTAAAAGCGTACAATAATTTAACTTAAGCTGTAAAAACTTAGTTTTACTCGATTAAAGATATTTCTGTTTTTAAATTGAAAAACTTTTTGATTTTTTTTAGTCATTTTACTACAAAAAATGTTTTCGTTTTTGCGCATTTTACTATGACTGTTAAATATGCCTAATAAGCTATACTTTTTTGTTCAAACCTTTTTATCACCCCGCACCAGAAAAACGACACAATTTTTTTTTAAAATAGTATTTTTTTGAAATATGGTCGGTATATTATGCGCGATTTGCACAGTAACCGGCTATTCTTGTTTGCAGTTGAAACTTGTTTGCTGACTGAAATTTAGGATGCTAATTTAGGGCAGTAGTTTTTTATTGTGATTGATTCCAGTAGAAACTAGAGAAGTTTTTCCGGAAATTCGTGCTAGCGATTTAGTTTTTAAGGCAGGGTATTCATACTTCACAAAAAAAAATCAGCCTCATAAGTCCCAAAAAAGCAGCCACACAAGTTCCAATAAATTTTGAATTACTGAACCGACAATTTTAGACAAATTGTTAACATTGGTTTAAGATCGTTGGTGGGCGAGCGAGTCATACCCGCTGTTGACAAGGTTGTAACTCATTGGCGCGACTGAGGCGTTCACTATTTTAATGTTTGTTTTTATGCTACTTGAACACTAGACAATTAGTTAACTGTTATTTAACCCACAATTTGACTAATAAAAACTCAAATTGAATAGTTTTGGGATTTTTTTGCGCAGATAACTTTGCTCACAGAATTTGCGCGTAAAAACCTTATAATTATTGTACATGCTTAATAATAATTTCAAACTCAAGGAGCATTTTGCGTATTTGGTGCAGCGGTAATACTCATGATAGACTTAACGAAGCCCGGAAAATTGGTTCTTGTCAGGGCATTTTTCTTTTGCAAACTGAAAAATTTGGCGAATTTAAACTATCGTTTTTCTAACTGTATGGTCAACTTAGTTTCTGCAAAATTGGTTTTTTGAAGGTTTGACTTCTCTCTGGAATGAAACTTTTTTCCACAAATTTTTGATTATTTTTCAAACTTTTGATTTGTATTTTATTTTACTTTTACTCTTGCTCATTTTTATATTCTCATTTGATGTGCAGTTCAGCTTCGCTTTTGTGTAAAAACTTTGTTTTGAAAATAATTTATGGCAGTTTTGAACAATTTTATTGCCTATCTGTAGCATTTTTGACTATCGATGCTCCTGTACTGAATTTTGTGAGTTCATCAACAAATTAAACTTTCGTTGATGCAAATTTTTGGGCAGATTCAATCATTGTTGTTTCTCATTTCTTTGCTTTTGCGTCTCAATATTCAGAACGTAATCATTTTTTGGATGATATAAGACAAAACAATCAACATCGTTGTAGACTAGCCTAATATTTTTTTGTTTATCGAATGACTGTCTCTTCTCCAATGAAAGGCAGTTTAGCATCAGTATAAGTCTTTTCAAGTTCTTCATTAGGCTATATGGCCGCATAAAAACTCGTAGATATTATAACTAATGTTTTTGTACACAAAATCATTAGAAGGGACGATCATCGAAATAAGTCATCCAAGTTGTATAAAACCCTTCTCAAGCATTTCCTCCCTTGATTGCCTCCTCCCTTGATTGAACTGTTATCGATTTATTAACTTGTAAGGTCTGGTGAGACCGAACAAAAAGATGGAGCTCAAATTCGCTGCTAGGAGATTAAGTTATACAAAAATGTCGATCATTGTGCTAAGAAGTATGAATATTTGTTGGCGTATCAAAATTCGTCTGTGTAAAGGGATTGACAGCAAGAATTTGCGTTAGAATGATATAGATCTTTTCTTTGCTTTTATGCCAACCCTTGAATGACAATAATTCGTTGTTTTACAACTAATTTGAGACCGAGTTACCATCCTAATACCTCATTTGCCTCCAGTTTGCTTTTTCATATTTTTTCAAGACAGTTTTTTCTGTCTTTGTTAGTTGTAAAAGAAACTGCATTTGAAACTGAATCCTCACCTATTAAATAATTACCTGAAGCGCAAACTTGTTTTCTATTTGGTTTTTTTTATGCGATGCTTCTTTTTTGCTGAAAAATTCCATCATCATTTTTTCCTAATTTCTCTTAAATTGAAGTATACGTTGCACTTTTGATAACTTATTGTTCCGACTTTCGTAACGAAAGTTACGGAATATTTGTGCTCGGGTGGGTTTTTTTTCTTCAGACAAATTTCGATTTTTTAACAAGCCATTTTTGACATTTTTTATATCATTCGAAAGCTATTGTTGTCCTGGGCTTAAAATTGAAAAAATAATTCACCTGTGATAATTTTTGTGAGTTAATAGGGGTTTAAAGATTGCCATTTTGGCCAACTCGGGACAATAAAAGCGCGATAAATTTCGCGCTATTAACGCAAAAGCGATATTTGTTAAGTCTTAGAAATCTTTCCGAATTGGTTCAAGGAAGCCTGTAAGCCATAAGTGTTTTGTTAATAGGAGCAAAACCTGTCTCTTTGTACTTAATATGACGTGTGGGGGGATGGTTTCACAAAAAATCTCAAATTTAAAAAATATTAATTTTACTTTACTACATTAAATTTTTCATGTTTTTACTGCTCCTTAGACCTTAAAAGGCATTCGGAACATTCAGGGCTTTGCATTAATGCGAGCAGTCTTGTTCAGTTGACTGGTCTAATTGTTCCGACTTTCGTAAAGAAAGTAACGGAACATTTGTGCTTGGGTGGGTTTTTCTTCAGACAAATTTCGACTTTTAACTAGCCATTTTTGGTAATTTTTTTCATCTAACAAAAGGTATTGTTGTGCTGAGCATAAATTTGAAAAATTTTTTTATCTGTGATCATTTTCCGAAAAGTTATGGGGGTTTAAAGGTTGCCATTTTGGCCAATTTGAGAAAATTAACGCTCGATGCATGTTGCGCTATTTACGCGTCAGCGGAGATTTAATCCGTCTCAGAAATCGTTCCAAATTGGTTCAAGGAAGCTTATAAGGCGTAATTGTTCTGTTAATAGGAGCAAAACCTTTCTCTTTGAACTTAATATTACGTGTGGGTGGATGTTTTCACAAAAAATCTCAATTTAAAAAAAAAATTTAATTTAATTTTATTACATTAAATTTTTCATGTTATTACTGCTCTATAGACCTTAGAAGGCATTCAGAACATTCAGGGCTTTGCCTTGATACGAGCAGTCTTGTTCAGTTAACTGGTCTAATTGTTCCGACTTTCGTAACGAAAGTAACGGAATATTCGTGCTTGGGGTGGGTTTTTTCTTTAGACAAATTTCGACTTTAACTAGCCATTTTTGACAAAAAATTTTTAAATCATTCAAAAAGCTTTGTAATGCAGTCAAATTTCAAATGTTCTTGTCGCATTTTTTGACACAAACAAACTTTCATACCGGCAAAATTTTAATTTAATTTGAAAGGTATTGATGCCTTGAGCTCAAAATTTTGAAAAAGATAAAAGTTGTCGCTTGAATTATTTGTCTGAAGCTATTGGACATTGAACTTCGTAAACTTACAATTAGGCCGGCTCCAATTATTTAAGTGGAATTTAAGTAAGCTAATTAGTCCAAGTAAAATGAAGCAAGCTTATTGGTCCAACTAAATGAGAAAAAAAAGTCCGTTTGTGCTTGATTTTGCTTGCTGGTGTAAGACTTGCAAAAAAATATATTTGTTATTCATTTTTGATTTGTTTTCATCTTTTTCAATCAAAAACAGCATGAGACAGTGGTTATTTTCAAAACCTTTTCCTTGATACGAGTCGTCATGTTGTTCCGGCTTTCGAATTTTTTTTGTCCAAAAAGTTTTCCATCGAAGTATGAGGGCATTCGAAGGTTCCGGAATTTGCTTCGATACAAGCTGACTTGGCTAATTTTAAATCAAGATTTAATCTCAGGTCTTCAACTTTAAACCGATTTGAAGTCATTATATCGTTTAAGAGAGCTCGCTGTAAAGAAATTGAGAGTCCTGTTTTTCTTCGGGTAACATAAATACTTGAACGAAACAACAATTCAATTACATTTAGGTTCTGCACTTCTCAAGAAGCTCGATGAGAAGATAGATAGAATTAATCGAAAACTTGTGTACTTTCGCAATTTGGAAACTGAAGTAAGGTCTGTGAAGAAAATCACCGATGACCTTTCAAAACATTTAGACGATATTGAAAAATTCGCTCAAGGTACTGCGGATTGTTCGTTTGAATTAGTGCAAAAGTTTATTGAGAAATATTGCGAGTACCCTGAAATAAACATTGAAAATCACGCGTCAATTGAACCTCGAAAAATGGATCCCGAGCACTTTACGTCGAGAGTCGACTTCCCGTTAAAAGACCTTAAACAGACCCTACCCGAGTTTAATATAACGAAATGGTCACCGCCATTGCGCTTAGGAGGTTTTACCTTCAAAATAGGTTTTACTAAGACACATAGCACGGAACTAGCCAACTGGCCGATGTTGAATTTTCATATTCGAAATCTGGGAGAAGAAGGTGGCTCACACTTCAGGACTGTCAAACTTGGTGTTATGAATCCTGTTTCATCCAAACCACACTTCGAGGAACAAATCGACGTCAATGATTGTACATCGGTAATATATTCAATAGATTGGGCACTTTTGTTTAGAAAACATTTGCACTGGCTGGACGAAAATGGGACTCTTTTAGTGTATTGTACGACAACGTAATTGACAATTTGTGACTTATTGCTCTTGAGCTTTTTTTGACATTATATGAATAATAAAGATGAAAGTTATAATCTCCTTCTGCTGAATGTGAGACTTTCAGACACATAATGTTGGAACGCGCTTCCGGTTAGCCATAAAACATGTCTCTGTAATCGGATGTAGGGGGGGGGGGGCGGGGCGGACGTCCCTCACCTTCAGGGATTTGACCCCCTGCCGACCCAAAGGGTCCCCTTTTGTACTATTTTGAGATATCCCTTTTTGGCTGGCTGACCCTAAAATTTTTCTAAAGGCGCCTTCGGGGGGAGCGCGCGTCGAAAAAACGCGATTTTTCGGTCAAAATTTTCCAAAAAGTGCCTAAAACGCCTTCAAAGAACGCGGTCCAGAAAATTTGGCCAAAATCTAAAATGGGGTCATTATAGTGATCTGAGAAAGCTCAGAAAATCTATTTGGTCAACCTAGAAAAAGTCGACAAATTTTTTTTTGAAAATCCAACCCCCTCGAGAAAATCCTTGATCCGTCCCTGTAATAAATTCGTTTTCAAGAAGGGAACAGACTCGATTATTATTTACATAACTAGTTAGCTGCCTATCGAGTGGTGTCTTCAAGAAAATCTGTATTTATTTAAAATCCGTTTGAACAATTTAAAAATGTTTTGAAGAATCAATTGTATAAAAATTCTGTTGAACCTATGTCAGCATATAGTTACTCCTTTGTTTATTTTCAGAATTACATGAAAAAAATTTACATATCATACTAAACCTTCATTAAATCCACCAAAAAATTTAGCTTATTTTTTTTCTGCGATTATAAATTCTTCTATCGCATTGCATATGATCTTTCATTAGAGAGAAATTGGTTGAAAAGCCTTACACTTCATTGCCAAAAATTTTCGCAACACAATCAGCTACTAACATGTTTCGGCATTTAGCGCTTGCTTATTCATTGATCGCTTTGTACCGTGCAATTTACCGGTGAAAAACCTTTTGTAGTTACCAGTGACCTTATTCCTTGTCTGTTAATGCGCAGAACCCTAAAAACCACGTCCAATCAGAATTTACAAAAGTTTTGTTTAAGTTCTCCCATACGATTCCAAATTGTAGTTTTATAATTTTTAAAATAAATCTGTAACTAGATATCATTTGGAAACAATTTTTTAATCATTATGTTAAAATAGAAAACTTAGCAAACTGAAAGTTATGTTTGATCGTCTAACAAATTGTGCAGAAAATTGAGTGTGGATACGCTAAGAGGTTAATTTAAACCCAATTGGAGCGTACTCTATCGTCAGTTTTGAACTTTAATATGGAAAAAATTTTAAGAAAACAAATAAAAGATATTTTTAGTGAAAATTCATCCTTTAGAAAACGTGGGCCCGTAAACTCGCTGGAACTATAAGCAGCAGAACGCCCTCTTCTTAGACATTTTTGTGACTATCTGAAATGTGACTATAATCTTTTGACGCAAAATGAAATCATCCCACATTGTAACCCCATAGTCAGCCTTGTATAGTATAAAACTATGTTGTCAGAAGTCAACGCCTGATCTTCTGTATGAATACAGTTCGAAAAACCCCACCACAAAACAGAACATAGTCATATACACATCAAGCTACAAAGATATATTTCATATGTATATCAGGTCGCGAACTTAAGCCTAATAATTTCAGTGTTTTTGAGTATGAAAGCATCCCTCAATCTATGAACAAAATTAATCAATTCTTCTTTTTTTAAAATTGAAAAATTATTAGGCAGTAAATTGTTTTAAAAGAAATGATTCAACAGTTTGCATCCTATGAGCAATATTGATTGTTGTTTCAATTTAGGTTGTCAGTAGTGATCCCCAAAAGTATTTTGGTCGACTTTCTGGTTTTTTAAACTGAAACCTTCAATTTATAAAAGTTATAAGATAGGCATTCGAAGTTAGTTTATTGATAGAATTGAGCAAAATTTGGGTAAATCGTACACATTTAACTCATAAAAATTTAAGATTTCGTGATAATTAAAATGATTCCTACTCTTATTGTATTTTCTCCCGTAAAGCATCATCCCGATTTCTTATTTTGCCTAAGTGAAAAAAATTTGAGATTGCTGAAACTTGTCCTTTCATAAACATGTAGACTATAATTTAACATGGATTCGATTGTATAAAAATAGTACTTAATGAAAACTTCGATTGACACAAATTTCCAAATTTACGAAATATTTACTTTTGTCTTCCTAACTCAGCTTAAGTTTTTCAATATCCGACTAAAAACGGTTTGGAATCCACAAAACATTGTTTGAGATAATTGCGAAAAAAGTTAATATGTTACCGTATGTCTACTTAGATCCAATCGAAGACTGAAAGCATTGATTTTTTTCTGATCAAAGAAAAACTGAGAAAAACTGATTTTTCACCGTAAAGTAAAAATTTCTGATCAGCCAGCCACATATACTGTTACAATAGTCTGATCTGCAAATAAGTGTACGAACGTAAGAGTCTTTCACACAGCTGGGCACATAATTTACTTGAACCAGAAACAGTAGTGGATCAATTTCAGATCCTTTGGGGAATCCATAAGATACTTTCAACCAATCCGAGTATACCAGTTTTGTAAAAACTCAAAATCAGAGTTTTTCAATTAATTTGACTAAAGTCTCGATCGAATTGTTTTTTTTTTCTGAAATTTCTTCTCACATGAAATGTTGCATCGGTTTGATTATTTGTAAAGACGGAAAAGCAATACTTTTTTGAACATTGTACCGCGGCACTTAACCAAAGAAATCGGCTTTTTCTTTTTATCTGTTTTACTCCCCTCTCTGTAAAATGGTAGGACTTTTAGGATGCTCTGGAAACTTTCCTTTTTTAGTGACAGATTTATCAAATACGTTAGATATGGAACAATTTTATGTGATTTTTTTTTGATCGAGTTGCTTATTTTGGCGATTCTTGTTGATCGCTTGGCATTTAGACTGTCAATCACCTCTAAAACTTTGAACACTGTGGTGTTGCACAGAAACACTAATTTTGTTTTTCGTTCATCACAATAGGTACTTGGTAACAACGCAAGGAGCCTGCATGCAAGGAGAAATTTTTATTTGAGCGATTTGCCACACCCACAATATTAGGTATTTTAGTTTTTCTTGATTTCAGAAGAAGTATTTTGCATCTTTCCTTTGATATTTTAAATTGTCTGGAATTTCCAATACAATTATTTAACTTATCATTATAATAACTTTTTTGCAGTTTTTGACTAATTTCTTAAGTTTTCTCTTGTAGAAATTATTCTTAGTTTTAATTGTGTTTCCAACTTCTTTCCTAAACCATCTGGAATAAGGATTTACCTTTTCAGAGCTCACACATTCCGGTGTGAATAATTTCAACTTTTTTAAAAACAAATTTTGGAATAATTAGTGTTTTTGTTTAGCACAAGATGTGTTTTTTTTTTAATTTTTAGTATTTTTTGGAGTTTAATGACCGTTATCCATCTTTAATATATTTCATATCTCGAAAAAGTTTCATGGTGGTATCTTTCCATGCTATTTAAAAAGTAAAAGCTATTGGACATCAATCTGCGATTGGGAGCTCTTCCAGCACGTTTACTTAAAATTTTGGAAAAAATTTTAACACGCAAATGATCAATGCATGTGCTTGAGTCTGAAATGATTCGAGTTGGTTTATCACTGGTGTCATTTAAACGTTTGCCGCTCTTATATTGAGGTAGCAATTTTAAAGATAATGTTTTTCTGTAAAATGATGACTGGACCTTTATGCTTAGATATCTCATTTAAAACCTTTCAGAATTTTTAGTGGATAAAAAATTGTCCGTTAGCAATTTTTGATACCTAACAACAATTATAAACCGAACTTCTGCATGTTGTATCAAAACAGCTGTTGTTACTGGCAAGTCACTCTTAAGCTCCTGAATAAAACTTCATTCAGGGTCAATCTTAATCGTCAAGCCACCACCCCTTTTTTCTAAGTTTTCATATGCAAAGGACGTGTAATTCGTTATTGTGAAAATTTCTTTGTTATCTTCTTCAGTTATACAAGTTTCTATAGTAAGTATAACTTTTGGAGACTCGAGACCATTAACTGATGGTTCCAACTCTTCGTCCTGTTTTTTTGAAGGTTGAACACAATACGACTGAAAAATCAAATTCAACATCAGATATTACACTGATAACAATATTAGGTTCTAGAGAAACCGTGGTGCTGCTCAAAAACATAAATTTTCATTCGAAAAACAACTCATTATACACTTTATTGAGTAATTCAGCTGCAGGGCTCCTTCATAGAGACTATTTATTCTGCACACTCTTCATTGTTTTCCCACGGAACATGACATCTCCTTTTCTGGTCCAAACTGCCTAGATTTGAACATCTTATTTCATCAATCGCATAAAATTATGCCATGCACTAGCTAGGTCTTTGTACACATAAATTTGGGCACTCTACTCACTGTTTTTAACGTCTTCTTTTTAGGCAAAATGTCATTTTTTGCTACCCTTCTCGAGAACCGTACAATGATTGGTCGGTTTCTGTTAGATGCACGTGTCGGCAATCGATGAGCAATGAAAATATCCGAAGGGGTAATTTGTGCACATACTTTCGTAGATAAATGTATGACCTTGCTGATGGTCTTATCATAACATTCGAGTAAGTTGTTTCCACTTGCATCTCGTCTCACTTGTCCTGGATATGCCCATTTTTTCAAATTGTCTCTGTTGTTATAGTTTTTGTAGTTCGTCCTCACACATGACTTTGCAAAAGCTTCCGTTTTTTAAGCTTTATTCGATTTTGAACTGGCCGAAGAAATTCTGTTTTTGTAGCTGTCAAAAGTTTTTGAACACTGTCTAATTGTTACTTTTAGATCCTCTGTCAGCTCTCTCACAAAATCCGGGAGTGAGTTTGTTTTCAATGGACTTTCCGATGGTTTCCTCCAACTTGTCAATGAATGGCCACTTCATCAGCGGGACTGGATACGACGCACGACCTCTTAGTTTCTGATTTTGCAATTGTCGTTTAATCTTGAAACCTTAGGGTAGGCGGATCATGAGTTTTGGCATCGTTCTGAACATGAGATTGAACGTTCTCCATTTACAGTCTCTGAAACAATTTAATAAGTTTATCGAAACCTTCAGATAGAAATCAATTTTGGATTTTTTTTTCAATTTTATGCCTTTGAAAGTTTTTAGATAAGTTTTATAATGTTCGCATTTCGAACGAAAATTCCTGAACAAAAAATTTGAAGTTTTTTGATGAATCTTCTAGCTGTAAGTAATTGAGAAAATTTTCAAAAAAAAGTGAAAAACTTGTTGTTTCTCATTTTTTTTTCAAAAGTTTTTCCTTTAAATTTTTTGTGATGTTCTCGTTTGTAATCAGAGTTTTGTTCGATTTTGAATAATGCAGAAATTTCAAAACAATATTAATACAATATGGAAGTTTGGATTTTTTAGAGAGAAGAGTCATTTCTCCCCGCGCTATCTAGAACAAAAAGTAATGGAGTTAGTATATATCAAGTTAGTATTCATTATCTAACAATTTTTGAGCGGGATTTATTTATTAAAAGCCCTTAAAAAACCCCCATATTTTCACGCAAAAAGCTTAGAGATTTGAATTGAACTTTTAATGCCTAAGTTAAAAAATTATTACAACCCAGAAGTCAACAGATATTGAATGCGAAATTGATGTAAGCTAACTTCATCTCTTTTTGCTCTATATAGCGCAAGAAGGAAAAAAATTTTTACAAATTTTTTTTTTTATTTTTTTAACTTTTCTTTTTTTGGAAACTTATCAAGTTTTTTATAATGAAACAGTACTCTTCAAAATTCGGACCAAAAAAAATAATGTTCAAATTGTAACTTGTTTTTAGTAAGTGACTAATGTAGCATATGGTAAGTTTTAGAGGAATCAAGATAACGAGCTTGGAATTGTGCAGTAGTAGATCTAGTTACGTTCATTAGGTACACTGAACTCTATATATCAGCCTACTTGAATTCCTTTAAAAACATTTGACTAAACATGCAGCAGTACAACAGAAACAGAGAAAAAATTGTCAAGTAAAACAAAACACAGACGCTTTAGTGTTTCCAAGGCTCGCTTCCTTGCAGTTAGCTTAAAAATCAGCGGAGCAAGATGTCCAATTTCTGCGGTGCTGATTTTCATAGAAAACCGAAGTAACTTGGGATAAAAATTTGGTATAAAAAAGAGCCTAGTTCTTGTCAAAATATTTTTGAGCTTTCAATTTCATCAACAAATTGGTTCTTTTTTAGTAGGAAGTTTTTTTTGAGAATTTGAGTTTTCTATGCGTCAGAGTTTTGAAGTTTTGCGATGCAAGTTTTCTGACACTTTTTTGACTTCAAATTTCTAAATCTAGAGTCTTTAGTCAATTATGTTTACCTAAATTCAAAAACTCCAGCATGTTTTCTCCAATTTGCATGATAGGGCCTATCCCGGAAGCTCTACGAGCAAGCTTTGTTAACTTTCAAGCCAACTGAAGCAACTTCGTCAGTTTTGGACCTCATTTTGAGCTTGTTTACGGCTCGGGTCATAACTTTTGAACCACTAGCTGCACAGCTCCCATCTTTTTTATGCAGCTGACCATCAACTATATCTAACTTCGCTAAAATTGAAAGTGAGCTGTGCGAGCACTCCTTCAAGCTCAAACAAGCGTTTTAGAGCCCTGAGACCCCCATTTTTCATCTCAAAATAGGGGTCTTCCGCTTCGATCAGTCGCTCCTGCAGCTCAACCATAACTTTTGAACTACCACTGGGCCTCAGAATTGACAGAATTTGACTCCTAAATGAGTATTACTGGCACAAAAGAGTTCAAAAAAAAAGCTAGGTATAGTAACATTGTTACTGGTGCTTATTCAATCTTTTCTTCCTTCTCTTCACTGGTTCATCTCTTTAACACTGCCCAGCTTTTAGCTCAGTGAAAGAGCTCAGACCGACTGCTACTGCTGATAGTTAACTCCTAAAGCAGTTCTTCTAGGTACTAGCGTTAGTTAGTACCTACTTGCTTTCTGATCGGTCAGTGTCTTTTAATTGGAATGAAGACCAGGCAGAAGTAGGCCTCCGAGCATTCTGGTGCTCTCCCAGTTTCTGACGTTGGGACTTCGCTGAAATTCGTTTACTTGCTACTTAACCGTCTTTCGGCTATCTTTCGGGTACTTGCTACTTTTACTTGACCGTACATCGTCACCGCCTTGAGTCAAGCTAACTTACTTAACTTAACTAACTTAACTGACTTGCTTGAGTCTAGCAACTCTAATCAAGCCATCTTTCGGGAATCTGACTCTCTCTTAATATGATGCACCACCGAGCAAGGTACTTTGACTGGGAGCCAATCCCCAGTCTCTTGCTATCATGAACTTTCTAAGGATCACCAAGAAGGATCACCTTGAGTCAACCTAACCTGCATCAGGTTAACTCTCTTTGCACCATCTTTCGGGAATCGAAGGTGATCCATTAAGGACTACCTTGAGCCAATCTAACCTTAGCTAGATCAAATCTAAGATGGACCCTCTTAGATGGACCATCTATCTAAGGATCACCAAGAAGGATCACCTTGAGTCAACCTAACTTGCATCAAGTTAACTCTCTTTGAACCATCTTTCGGGAATCTAAGGTGATCCGTTAAGGACTACCTTGAGCTAATCTAACCTTAGTTAGATCAACTCTTAGATGGACCATCTTAGATGGACCATCTATCAAAGGATCACCAAGAAGGATCACCTTGTGTCAACCTAACTTGCATCAGGTTAACTCTCTTTGCACCATCTTTCGGGAATCTAAGGTGATCCGTTAAGGACTACCTTGAGCTAATCTAACCTTAGTTAGATCAACTCTTAGATGGACCATCTTAGATGGACCATCTATCAAAGGATCACCAAGAAGGATCACCTTGTGTCAACCTAACTTGCATCAGGTTAACTCTCTTTGAACTATCTTTCGGGAATCTAAGGTGATCCATTAAGGACTACCTTGAGCCAATCTAACCATAGTTAGATCAACTCTTAGATGGACCATCTTAGATGGACCATCTATCTAAGGATCACCAAGAAGGATCACCTTGAGTGACGGACCGGGATTGCCCATCTGATATGAAAAAACGATACTATCAAATTGGCGACTAAGTTTTAATTAAAATTTCAGTTTTCTTATCACACTTGCGAGAGCAAGTGGCTTATAATCGGGAACTAGACTTTATTTCCGTAAAAAAAATTTCTTGTTTTGTTATTGAACCTCACCAACAACCCGATTCTTTCTCACTTGGCCGAGTGGTAACGCATTTACTTTTGTATTGCTAGATTTGGGATCGAGTACCGGGTTTTCGGATTATCGGATTTTCTTTTCTGCTTCTGTTTCATCAGCTTAGTTGCAACTTTGAGGAGTTTTCCTTTGTTGCAAGCAATTTTCATTATCGTTTTCATGAAGTTTTCAATTTACTTGTAAAATTTGTAAATTTTTAAGTTCTTGCTCTGTATGTTTTCTTCGATTTTCTTTTTTTTTTCTTAGCTTGAAAATTACATTTGGCCTAAATGGTTTTGGTTCAAGTTTTACTGGCTTAGGTACCTTATTTTGTGTATCTTTATTAGAAAAATGAAAATAAAATAGTTGTTTGTGTTGTAAGATTTCAAAGTTATGAAGTGTACTCTGGAATTGTTTACATTCCCTCTCCACAAAAGATTCTTTTGATTCTTTTTGCTGTCCTACAATGCTGCGCTTGCAAATGTATTGCAAGTGATGCGAAGCTCCACTTTGTCTGCGAGTTTGAAAGGTTAGTATATTATTTTGCACCTTTTTTCATTGTTTCACTAATTGCTGAGTTTGTCGCTGAATTTATCCTTTTTCAGCAAAAAAAAACAAAAACTTGTTTAGAATAGATTTATTTCTCATTTTTTTGTTTTTCTTATTTTGCTGATGATTAAAGCCAGGCAGGCAAGCTAAACATCAAAATAATTTGAAATTAGTTTTGTGTTCCTTCAAAATATTGTTCTTTCGAGGCAAACTGCTTTTTTTAAATTGCAACGTATGCAAAAAAAAATTTAAATTGAATGATCAGTCTAATTAAATAAGGTTTTAGTAGCAGCAAAAACTAGCGTTGGATATCGACTTGATTAATAAAACGGTGATGTATGCACGTTCAAAGAAGGTGCGGAATATTTATGCTTGGTGAGGTTTTTTTTATTCAGTAATTTTTCGACTTTTTAAGCAAGCGTTTTTAACGGAAATTTTTTAAATCATCTGAAAAAAATTGTTGTCTTGTGCTCAAATTTAAAAAGAAATTTTACTTGTGATTATTTTTGTAAAGTTACGGGGAATTGAAATTTGCTAATTTGGCCAATTTAAGATAATTAAAAAATCTTATGTTGCGTACTTATAACACGCTTAAGGAGCGAACAAGACTGCTAGTATGTCAGAGCAAAGCCCTTAATTCATATCAAATAGTTTTTGGGAAAAAAATTCTTAAAAACCTATAAATAGATCAAAGTGTGAAATGTTGATTCGTACGAAATCAATACGACCGATCTGATTAGCTAGCATCAATTCAATTTGAATAGATTTTGTTGTGCCGGATAGTTCGCCACGCATAAACAATTTGCGTTACGCTCTCAGCAATATGAATAAATTCTTCAAAGCGCGCATAATTTAGTCCAGAACATGGCCATTTTGGTAGTTTTCAAATCTCCAGAACTTTACAAAAATGATCGGAGGTAAAATATTTGAACTCATGTAGTCGATATCTTTAATGGGGTAAAAAACTTTTATTTCGATCGGCGAAAGTTGACTGAATAAAAAACCACACCGAGCATAAATATTCCGTTCTCTTCGAAAGTCGGAACAATTATTGCGTTCCAAATTTAAATTGGGGCTAGCAATATAATTCTATTTTATTATTGCACGCATTTCGAGACGCTAAACATACCCTTAACATTTAACATAGCATGTGGGGGACAAAATGAAGAAATCCTTTTTTTTTTCAAATTTTTTGTCTTCTATTAAACCAAAAAAAACTGAATAGCCCCTAAGTGCAGTCGAAACATTCAGGGCATTGCCCTGATATGCGAGCAGTGTTCTTGTGGCATATTGGCGGGGTGTCGATGCTAGACATTTTAGGCAATACT